CAGCACCACAGGTGAACACCATGGACTAGATGAAGGTTCAATAACACCATCCTTCACCATTCCCTCAATCATGGTTTCCACTTCCTTTTCACGTGCTACAGGCAATCTTCTTAAGGCTGTACACATTCCCTGGTAACGCCCCTTCCATGAAAAGTTCTTCTTGTCCACATTTCAAAACACCTTGCTTAACGTCGATCTCACAACAATTCTTCCTCATAAAGTCTAGGCCCAGGATGCAGTCGTCCATTATATCAGCCACGATGACATTATGCAGGTAGATCATGTTGCCTAGCTTCAACTCCATCTCCTTCTCTCCACGGACGGGTATGCGCTGACCAGTGGCTGTCACCAAATTAATGCGTTCTGGGTTGTATGCGGAGTCACCAAGGAACCGACTTATAAGTTGGGAACTGACAACCGTGCGAGAGGCTCCAGTGTCTATGGTCAGTTTACATGGCGTTCCGTTGACTTCGCCCTTGATGATTAGGCTGTTCCCATCATGAGTTTGTGAGATCGAAATCCTTGGGGCTCTTTTAACATCAGCCAGCACCCGCCAGTTTCCCTGCTGCTGCTGGGCGGTGCTATTATCCGCACTACCCTCTCGAGATCGATCACCTTCCCTTTTTACAGTTCGCTTAGGGCAGCTGGATCGAAGATGGCCCCTTTCTCCACAGCCGTAGCACCTAGGGCTGTAGCTTTTATTGCGGTCCTGAACTTTAGCTGCTGCAACCTCCCTGACGCGGTGGGAACGATGATCCTGCCGCACGGCTTCCACCTCCAGTGCATGGGTCAAGGCGTCCTTAAGCGTCTCGTGGTGCCCGAGCCTCACAGCAGCTCTGACTTCAAGGTCGCGGATGCCATCGATGAAAGTCTGCACCAGGTTCCCTACAATGAGCACAGGTACAGACTGGTACGCTTTTCGAACCAGCTTCTCCACCTCAAGGGCCCACTGCTGCAGGTTTTCGTTACTGCGTTGCACGCGATCTTTGAGCTGCGCACGAAAGACGTGTTCCAGGTGAGCATCGCCATATCTCGCCTCCAATGCCTCAAGGAGCTGCTCGTAAGTCACTTCCTTACCGAGCGCTTCCAAAACAGTTAAGGCCTGGTCGCGTAGGCCTAGGGTGAGAGCAGTCATGGCCTGACTTTTATTCCAGCCGTTCGCTTTCATGACAGCCTCGAACTGGATTTTGTAGGCCGACCAGGAAGAACTCCCGTCGAACGGCGGCACTTTGAATCCACGTAGCGAAGGTGTTGTAGCTACCACGGGAGCTGTGATTCCATCCCCAAGTTTGAGGTCGTCCAGCGTTTTCTTCACATCAGCCATCACGTTGTCAACCCGATTGTTCACTTGGTCGATTTGGGTTTCAGCTTCCGACAGGCGGTTGTCATGTTGAGCAACCCTATCCTTCACCTCCTTTATCTCTTTCCCGAAGGTAGCGTGAAGGTCCTTCCTGAGGAGCATCTGTTCTTCCATACCGCGCTGCAGCTGCTCTTCCAGCCGACGGGTCTGTTCCTCCTGTCGGCGGGCCTGTTCCTCCTGTCGGCGGGCCTGTTCCTCCTGTCGGCGAGCCTGATCCTGCAGCATCATCATCAGAGCACCTAAGTCAGGTGCTGCAGATGCAGGAGCTGCTGACGGGCCAGCCTCCGTGGTTAGCAACCGGCCCTCCGACGTTTGCGGCGTTGCATTACCAAATCGTCTCTGGTCCGTCTCCTGTTGGCGTTGACTTCGGGTACGGATACCCTCCGTGTCGTCTTTAGGTAAAATCGGCATATTTGATCCCACTTCTGACACCAATTGTTACGAACTTGGGGTTCGAGACAATTAAAAACTGCCGATTAAATTACCAATTTTGACACTTTTATTACACAACACTAGTTACAATCTAAAATCACACTAATAATAAAACACAGTTCGCCGTTATTTCGCTTCGAAGTATTCTCTTGTATCGCCAATTCAATACTGCCCCGGTCGTGGTCTATACCGGCCTTATAAAGGGCCTCAGATAGTTTCCGGAACCTTCTACTGTAGAGACATCTAGAATGTTCGAGTACATATCGGTCCCGAAATTTCTGGAAGGATCTCGACTATCCTAGTTCTGCTACTCGACACTAGAGGGCGCTAGTGTAACTAGTGTTGCCATGTACAAGACATTAATAGTGGCGCGCAACACTTTCATTTACTCGACACTAGGGGGCGCTAGTGTAACTAGTGTTGCCATGTACAAGACATTAATAGTGGCGCGCAACAATATTTAGTATCGTCCCAACCATTATATACAACAAATTCTTGCAATAGAACACCGAATCCTACCAATGATGATTCGCGAGGCTATTGAAATTAAAAATATCCTAATTTTAATAGGGAAGATGGCTGAGTGCTACTATCTGCTAAAGACTCCATGATTAATAAAATTAAATTCAAACTACTACTGCATTTTAACTATTCTATTTTAACTATGACATCAGGTCGTCAAACACCTCAGTTCTCCCACCCCTCCCGTGACCATGGGTGCTATAAATTGCCCAAACCATCGGGAATTTAAAAAGTTAAAATTAAACGCCATAAAATTCTTAAAATTACTTTTATTCCTTATAAATCTTATACACAGTGAACGTGAGGAACACTACACTCATGAACGGAAGTAGAAAAATGTTCGCACTGTTGTGGCGGTGAAAGAAAATCCAACACATCATATCGTCCCGTCGTAAGAGGCGACATAGGAAAAAAACAGTAGATGGGATGATCTGCATCATCTTCTTGACAACAGATCAAAATAATAATAGGTGCGGTTGCCAACCCGCCACTATAGCAAATATCCAGCTACTTGACAATTTATGGGGGAGGCCTATGATCATTTCAGTGGACTCTTGATAGACTGACGATAATGAGTTCTACTCATCTTTGCAAGCCTTAATATTTACGGTAAAGTCAAAACATAAATTATCATACCCGAAAACACGAATGAAATAGAAACTGCATATATTGCCCCATGAAAAGTAAAAAAGCAGCTTACATACATGCTACTACTGGGCACATGCTGTAGAGTTTTCGGCCAAAAAAGAGTTCGCTGCACTGATTCCAACGCGGGATGAACGTAATGTAAATGATTCAATTATTTACATCGTATTTTCAGTAGCATTGTATTATTTCATTTTATCAATGTCTTGCCATTTTAATTTGTTTAGAAGTAAGTAGGTGGCGCTAATATTACATGAAACAATGAAAGCCAAAACTATACCATCTAGTAATATCAGCAATAGAAACGAACATTTATTTATTATATCAATAAGGGATAAGGTGATCTCAATTCTCTTAAAAGTTCTGTTTCTGTTAAAAAAAAGCTATCAGCGCCGCTAGCGGTGAAAAACGATAATGATATCGTCATATGACCATATTATGAAATAGCAACGTTGTGTTTAGTTACTAATAACTTCAAAAAATTTCTATTAATTGATTTGTTCAAGCTATATAATGACACGGTCATCAAATAGTATTAAATACACATTCATTTCAGTCATTTTTTCAGTCTTTTCATGAAATGATAGACTACTTTATGATATATGATCAATTCTACGATTTGTCCACGACTTACATAAAAATCTCTTTAATAAAACTATGATGATAATGAAAATTCTGCAACAATTGCAGACAGACCAGTTTTTATCACTTTACATATATATTAGTAATTGAAAGAAATACCTTATCAATTTTCATATTTTTGATAGAAATCACTATTATCTATTGAAATTATCACACTTTTAAAATAAAATAACAAAAATACTAAAAAACTGAACGTTACAATTTTTTCATAATTTTAAAAATCTAATAATTTAATCATATAAATGTAACTTATTTATATTATTTCATTTATTAGTAACTGAAGGCAAAATATACAACTTTTTCCATTTGATGATAGATGGCGCTGTTTTGAATACGAAATCGGTGTAGTTTCAAATTATTTTACCAAGATTATTACTATATTTTAAACTTTATTTACAAATATGGTAATATGGTATTTATTTGAAAAACACCCGTCATTCCGCCTATAACTAAGATACAACAGAAAATTAACATCTAAAGGAAATTAATATACTTAACCTTCCTTTTTTGAAGTTCAGTAATCGGATAAAAAGTAGCCTATAAGTTGTCCCGGGTTACTGACTACCTACTTATAAAATTTCATGTAAATCGGTTCAGTAGTTTTTGCGTGAATCTGGAATACACAGACAGACAGACAGAAAGACAGACAGACAGACAGACAGACAGACAAAAATTCTAAAAACCACTAATTTGGCTTCAGAACCCTTTATTTAGTCCCCTGGACTTATTTTTTCAAGAATATATTAGAATTACAGACACGACTTTTCAACAGATTTATTATATGTATAGATAATGACTTCGCAACTATCAAATTTTACCTATGGTCTAATCAGAAATATTTAAAATTATCTAGTTATAAATATAATAATATAATAATTTTAAATATTTAACAGAATATTTTACACATATATACTTGCTAAAAATTGTATTAAAATTCTCAAATGCTTTTAACATAAATAGCTGACCGCAAAATCCTCCTTTACATTCTGTCATCCATGTGCCCAAATCGCCAAAATCATCCTTACGTAATTAATGATTGGACTTACGTAATGTATGACGTTATTGCCCTACCGTATTGCTTTATAAATGTAACCTTTAATAGAATCAGGCGTTACTTTGCGGAAATCCATTATATTAAAGTTGGTAAAAAATTACCTCGCGTCCTCCGCTCGATAAATAATCTCGATATCCAGCGGATGTACGCGAGGTAATTTTTTGCCAACTTTAATTAAATGTAGGCTTAAGCCTTAATTAAATGTAGGCTTAAATTAAACCTTAATCCGATGGTACTTGTACCCTTCAATGCGGTGTTTACACAATATTTATTTATTATTCTTCGTTTTCTTTTTTTGTTTTAGGTCAAGAAGAAGACATAATCGTACCAGGCACAGAAGAAGAAATGGCGGAATTCACAAACAGTTCTGTTGAAAATTCATCTATACACCTTGATTTGAATCTGCCGATACTCAGTTTGCAGCTCGAGTATGTATTAATTTATGTTATGTATTATGTATCACCATTACTCCCTTCTATATAGTAGGTTTGAGATTCCATAAAAAAGATTAAATATAAAAATGTTTAAATGATATATTTTATTCAACACAAACCTTTGACGCACACAACACAACTATACAAATTTAATGTAATGATTGGAAAATATAGTCCCGACTCCCGACGCAAATTCAATACTGGGAATATTTAGCTACCAAAAATGTAAAGTATTTTTCCTCAATAATACCCAGAAGTGTGTGAAACACATGTTATAATATGATACTCTCTATGAGTACGCAAACATTGTTTACATTCGTAAAAAGTTGATTTGGAACAGGGGTAGTAAAGGAAATGGTTATAATTATATAAATTATATAATAGTTATAATTTTTCTTATTAGGCTAGAAGTCTCAAAGTTGCAAAGATTTTCCGTTATTTCGGATTGATAATTATAGTGTTGGAGGTTTCACACTCATCACATCATATTTGAGATGAAGTAACTTTTTATATAGATTTCTATTCGGCAAAAATCATATGACTTTTTAGCGGTTAATTTACTAGCGTATTAGAGGGTTGCTTAAAAATAAGAAAATATCTGAGCTAAGCAATGGATCATAGTGAAGTTTGTTCCTTTATTTACACTTTCTTATTTCATTATTATTGTTCTAGATCTAAACAACTATATGAGATAATCTACAATAGGATAAACTCAGACCTTCTACTTTGGGAGCCACTGATAGTGGATCAGTTTGAGATTAGTCCGCACATGTGTGGAACCATCTACCCCGCCTTTGGTATGTGCAAAGGCGCCGGATATGGTAAGCGTAATAACATTAGATTATTGTTTAAAAAATATTTCGATACAAAACTTTACCTATCTGTTTTACATACGATTATGTCTATTATTTTATTAAAACTATTATTTTAAATATTAATCAAAACGTAAATAAACGTTTTGATTAATATTTAAAATAATAGTTTTAAAAAGAATTACATTTAATAATTACAAAGGGGCATACAAGATGTTCTAAGTTAAGAAGTTAGCAATTAATTTTCTTTTATTTTCACAATTGATTTTTTTACAATGAATTAATTTCCACAGACTCGGACACGGACAGTTCATCTTCCGAAGAAGACAATCTTTATTACTCTACCTACGACAATAAACTCAAAAAAGGTATTGGCAACACTAAACCATTGCCTGAAAAAAAAGAGAGCGAGAGCCATAACTTCTGTTTGACTCTTAAAATCGGGAAAGGGTTACTGACTATCTTCGCTCCTGTACGGGTACGTCTTAAAATATGAATTCTTTATTTAACTTCTAATTCACTATTTTTAACAAAAATGCAAATCCAAGATCGAAAATTGTTCATCTAAATTAGACAAAAATTGCTTGTAAAATGAAAATATTGTTTTCTTTAAAAAAAAACTACACTAGGTTTTTCTCCCGTTTCATAGAGGAACTTTACGTAAATTGCACATAGACAAACATCCAGACCTGCCTGCGAAGCTTAGGAACTGTAGCATATATACCTCACTGGTGGTCTTGTTTTTCAAGAAAGCCGAAATGCTAAGTTTAAAAACTACAGACCGATTTCGCATCTGAGCCACGTGTACGTGCTGTTTTCGAGAGTCATACGAATCGTCTCGCACGCAGACATGACGGCTCAAACCTCCCGAACGAGCCAGTTTCCGAAAAGGCTTTAGTATACCATATACTTCGTCAAATTGTACAGAAGACCGGAGAGTACAATCTACAATCACTATATCTTTGTTATGTGCACTGTGAGAAAATCCTTTGAATCCGTCAAAATTTAAGCAGTGCTATAGTCCATTCAGCGGTGTTTGTATAGTAGGGCTACAATGGCTATCCTATTTCCGAGTACAAAACTATAGACGAAGTCATGTATAACGTCCGTGTCACAGCTAATTGTCTGCAGCACTACACTCAAAGTAGTTGACGAATATGTTTACCTGGGGCAAATTGTCTGACTAGTTAAGTCCAACTTCGACCGAGAGATCAAAGTTGCGATTTAATTAAATTTTTTTCGGTTTCTAGTGTATACAAGTTAAATAGAAGAAATGCCTCAGTACTGTATGCACTAAGACATTACTTGAATTTTTTACACATTTTTAACTTTTCTTAAATTCTACATTTAGGAATATCCGTAGTTAGGTTTATCCGTTTTTAATCTAATTAATAAAATATTTAACACAAACATTTCCGAAGTAAACACTTATACTTCTACACTTATCTAACAAATTAATTTAAAAGCTGAGTGGAGTGCATAATCAAGAAAATCGAATCTGACACAAAAAGTTTGTCCTTCGAGCTAGACAACCCTATAGTAGGTGATTATCATAGTAATAGGTGATAATAAATTATAAGAACCTGTTTTTCTAGATTTTTCTTTATCCTTTTTTACATTAACAGACAATAAGTTTATACAAGTAAAATGCTATTTTTGTTAACAGGACTCCAATAAACGCGTAGTCCCTGGGCAAATGGGAGAACTTGTGTTGGAAGCACACAAGTTGAGCATGTGCCAAGTAAGTGGCCTTAACGGACGCGCGAAAACTGCTCAACTGTGTCTTAGATCCGGAAAGATGACGCTGTACCATGAACGTGAGTATTTTTTGGATGATACATATATTTATTACTGTCATCACGATTTACGTCGCTTCGCACCTTAGACGTTGTTTTATAAGATTTTACATCGTAAATTATAAAACTTGTAACGTGTAACAATCTTATTACAGATACAAGTTATGTAATATATACAGTCAAAGAGAAATGGTATCAAATAAATTGAAAATGTCAGTACTAAATTAGCAATAAGTAACACATTATTATTTTAAGAGGTCAAAGAATTATCCACCATGGAATATTTTCAATATTATGAAGCCTTTAAACAGAGGTTATATATATAATACGCGGCCGGAAAGTTGACACATCGAGCCTTAGGGCCGATTTACAGTTCGACAAGTACAATAGCGAGTTCAGCTACAGGGCAATTTACAGTAAATTGTTAAGTGGACGTTCATATGTCTTCCTGGCTAGTTTAATTCAAAAAAGGACAATTTTATAATTTGAGGGTCGAACGCAAACACGTTGCGTCCTGTCAACTTATGCGCTAAACTAAACTCGCTCGTTCACACGAGCGGCGAGTTTAGTTGTGATTAGCAAGAGACGTGCCGGAGGGCAACATTTCGAACTTGACTCGCTGAAAAATAGACCGGCCGGCTATCCCGTTCAACTTAATTGTAAATTAGCTACTTAATTTAATGATTGCTGTTCAAACGAGAATTTTTTAGTTAACTCGCCAGGTTCGCAAGTTAACTCGCTACTGTACTTGTCGAAGTGTAATGGGCCTTTAGAAAGAGACTATTGGCTACAATCGCTTCGGCTTTGTAGAAGGTTGTCACAGTCATTCAGTACCACCCAATGTATTTTTGTTATGAACTTGTCAGTTGTTTTACAAGTTTCTTACCTTGGTCGCATCTAAATCTATTTGTTATATCGCTGCAATATTTTGTTCATTTACAGTGAATCTTATTGTTTTACAACTTTTATTATATACTATACACTACAAAAACTATTAGAACTGGTTATATTTGTCTACAACTCAAAGTTGAATATTTAGCTCCACCGGTGTTTTGTAATTATAAATAATATTTCGGCTTGCAGCTCTTCTCAGTATACCATCAGAGAAGCCTCCCCTACGTCTTTATGGTACAACTCTGCCCTTATATTTGAAGAGCACTATTTTTCCATCAAGCAAGGGAGTGATCATAAAAGAGCGTCTCCAAGCTAAAGATATGTTTTCCTTAGCACTCAAGACTGAACCCGACAATGAGACACCTAATTTGAAGGTAAGGGAGTGATGAAATCAATTAATGCAATCTTGAAACTTTATGAATAGATCAGAATCGAGAATTAATTATAGATGTTTCAAATATTTTATACAAAATAAAGGTGATAAACGAGCGCTCAATTCATTTATATCTATACGTATATTGTATTCTATATATTGTTATTCTTCACTAAGAATCAAAAACCAGATATTACCCCTGAGAACTAAAATGGATTACCTTGTTACCAGTAAAAAAAAACTCTGGATTCGTCACTTACCATTCGCATACGTAACAGAGCAGCATTATGTCCGGGTCGAGCTGACCCATTAGTGCTGCAGCGTGGCTCTACCAAGTAAAAACCAAGTAAACCTAAAAAAAATATAATTATTCCAGACGATCTGTATAGCGATGGGTATAGAGCAAGCAACGTTGCGTCACCGTGGCGACAAAGGCATCGCTTGGCTGACCCAACTCATGGACGTCTTGGATGTGCTGGACTACCCAGTACCTGGCTATACACCTTCTATAGTGCTGTCGGAGTTACATGTCCACGTGTGGGATTGCGCAGTCGATTACAGGTAGGTCATGTACCATCTAGGATTGCTTGCTCTTTATAGATGATCGATAATAAAACTAGTATTTATACGGTATATTAAAAAATATGTTACAGTAGTTCTTCAGACTTAGCCAAATTGACTTTCTACAAACGTTAACGCTAATAGAAAACTATAAAATGAGCGAAATCAACGTCGAGCGATTTAATGTTAATATAATTATGTATTATAGCCTGCTGGCCAACCTGCATCTATATATGCCGATTTTTGACCATGACCTTGACAAACTTCGTCATGCTCGCTTAAAAATCTCTGCTTGCTTCTGTGCAACGATATGCTCTAAATTTATATTCGTCTTTTATTTGGAGTATATTATAGAACATACTTCAGTTACCGATTGGTATTTTATCGTTTTCCATTCTGTATATACTACGCTATATAATATTAACTTAAAAAAATTACCAAAAAAAGAGGATACCTGCTGAGTTTCTTTCTTTCTTCGTTTCTTCTCCGGTCAGGGGAACAACCACACTTCCAAACGGTAGTAGATTAAGCAGCTTTAAAAAAACTATTTGAAAAAATTAATTCTATTTTCTCACGTCGAAGAATTAAAAATATTTCAATTCTAACCAAAATTTCTAAATTTTTTTGTCCTCGACGTCTTACGATACCCATAGAAAGAGATAAAATGATGGGATTGTCTTACGCAGATATATTTTTGACTCCATACCGTTACTGTTACCGTTACAGCTAATTAAAGTCCACCGTTGAACATAGGCCTCCTCCATAGATTGCCGCATAGGGGGATATTTCACTCCATACTTTTTTAAATATCTCCCAGTTCATTGTGTTACAAGTGACTTACTAAGACAGCCATCAATTTTTTGTCAGCTATCGTCTACGACGAAGACACAGAATTTGTTCATCATAATAGTACATCGTATTTATTATTCCATTGCAGACCTCTCTATTTGCCAATACGTACAGTTTTAACGCTCGGCAACTTCAGCGTGTCCAGTAACTTGATACCGGAGACGAACACATCATACCTCCGCTTCTTAGCGCAGGAGTGCACTTTGTTCCTGTACCACTTGACGGGCAGCAAGGCGAACACGACCGTGCCCCAAGACGACGATAAAGCCCCGGACGTAAAAAGGGACTATGTTTGCGTTGTCGATGTTGGACTGTTTGAGTTGTCGCTCAGGACGGAGGACAAATCCAATGGTGTGAGTGTTTTATTTGTAAATTACTGTTAATAAATTTGTTAGTTAATTTAAACAAAAATATATTTAAATGTATATCCATGTATACATGTTGTATCTAGTTTTTGAATGTTGTTCCATAAAGTTCTGTCTCGATATTTTATGTCTGGCTTAAACGAGATTGTCTGTCAGAAGCAGTAAGGTTTTTCTGACATATCCCATAATCTAGCTGTCTCATGCGGGAATGGAGCGGTCACTCTTACGCCATCATCACACAACACACTTTTAAATACAGTATGATATTAAGAAAGATTCTTTCTATGAGTACAATGGTTTGGAGAAGATATCATTTTTTTCATCATCATCATCATCATCATTACAGTCTAATAAATGTTTACTGCTGAATATATACTCTTAATAGGTGGGATATATTTTATAGTTGGTACGGTTTGCAGGCGCGTTTGCAACCGCATTATTTTATTATTTTGAGTTGTTATTATTCATTTTCTTCTTAAGAGTGTTACGACGGCCACGGACCGTTACATATATATATATATATATATATATATATATATATATGTAACGGTCCGTGGCCGTATATATATATATATATATATATATATATATATATATATACGTACATACAGGGCATGAGGTATATAACATACAAGCGAGAAAAGTACATTAACATGCGATCATACTTTTAAGAAAAGTTGAACTTTATTTTTCTTTTTTTTAAAAACGTTACCCTTACACTATGATTTTCTCCTGTATCGTGGTGGTAGTTTACAAACATAGATTGCACGAGGGCAAACATTCAGAACTGGAACAATTATTTGTAGGCCATATAAATACTTGTTCAGTGAGGGATTCGAACCCGTGGCCCCCAGCGCAACAACTCATTGCTAAGCCACTGCGCCACGGAGTCGTCAGTTTATTATATATAGGTATCATAAAACTGTATGTTGAAATTACGGACGTAAAAAATTATACGGTCGTACAACTAACACGCTACACTGAAAATGTGTGAATAATAATAATAATAATAATATCTTTATTGATAAACATATTACAATCACAAATATTTACAATGGTCAACAGCCCCTAAACTAGGATATTATACCTGTATTTTAGGGGCTAGTTTTCCTTCCCTATTCTTAGTTCCTATAAAATAAAATAATTTGTTTATCGATATATAGTTAAATATGATTATGTTTACAAATATTTCTTAAAACTAACTAACGAAAATTTAAAAAAGTATTTTAAAAAAGTATAATAAAAATATTAAAAAGGAATGTAATGTTTGCACTGTAACTAAAACTGCGTGTGTGTGTTTGTGTGTGTGTGTGTGTGTGTGTGTGGGAGTGGGTGTGGTTAGGTGGGCGTGTGGGTGGGTGTGCGTGTGTGCGAGAGTATGTATGTATTAGCTGGTGTTGTTTATACATCCAAGGAAAAAAGGTTCTCCGTACCTTCATAATCAAATTCTTTTAGCCATTCTATAATTTTATTTTTCACTTCAAAGTTATTTAGTGATCTTATGTTATGCTTTCTATTAAGTTTGTTGTATAGCCTAGGTGCCAAAAAGTCAAAATGTCTTCTAAAAACAGCACTATTTGGTCTCGGAACAGGACATCGTTCAATTCTCTTATTGCTAAGTTTTAATTTAGGCACCGTGACACGATGATATCTCCTTAGACTTTGCAGAATAAATGTTTTACGAACAGATAGCACTTTCGCCCTGTCATATACGGACACTGTTGAGTGGCGAAATGGTAGACGAAATATTACTTTTAAGACAGCTCTTTGTGCGCGTTCAACCTTAATTAAATAACTTTTAGCGGCACCTCCCCAAGAACAAATGCAGTAATTAAAGACACACTCTCCCAATGCTTTGTATGTTTTAATAAGTAGTTTGTAATCGGTCACTGTCCGTAAACTTTTAAATATATAAATTAGTTTTCTTAGTTTATTAGCCACTGCATCAGTATGGGCCTCCCAAGTTAATTTATTGTCAATGATTACACCAAGATATCTGATCTGATCTGTTTTAGCTAAAATTACTACAATGACATGGTGTAAAGTTAATAGTGCGATTGCAAGGATATCTGTGGATAGTAATTTTAAAGTTTCTAGTTGGAAGAGAAGCATTAGTCTTACCGAAACATAGGTATTTGGTCTTTGAAACATTAAGAGATAGTAAATTATCTTCAAGCCAACTTGTCACTAACCTAAGACCATTTTCTGCGAGTTGTGCTACTTTATCCCAAGTGTCTCCATGAAAAATCAATACAGTATCGTCAGCAAACATGGTTAAATCGGCATTTTTGATATTAATTTTACACAATTCGTTAACATAAATAAGGAAGAGCGAAGGACCTAAGGTACTTCCCTGTGGCACACCGTAAGAGCAAGAGGAACTGCTGCTTGTGTAATTGTCGATTCTGACACGTTGGCGTCTATTCGAAAGATAGTCTCTAAACCAGTTGTAGACAACACCTCTTATGCCCAAGTTTTCCAAACGGTTGAGCAGTATGGGAATCGACACTGTATCAAAGGCTTTTTGAAGGTCCAAGAAAACCCCTACACATTTTTTGCCACAGTCGAGGTATTTAGATATAAGAGATGTTAATCTTAATACAGCATCTTCTGTTGATCTACCCGAACGGAAGCCAAATTGATTAATATCAATGAAATTGTTTCTTTCAAGGTACCGTATCAGTCGTTTATTCACTACCTTTTCCAATATTTTTGACAGAGTACTAAGAAGTGAAATCGGTCTATAATTAGAAGGGAGCTGCTTGTCACCAGATTTGTATATAGGACAAACCGTAGCTTCTTTAAAAATAGCAGGAAAAACACCTTGTTCTAGACTTAAGTTGCAGATAAACGCTATTGGCTCAGAGAGGATATTTATGTACTTCTTTAGGAAATATGAAGAAATAGAATCAAATCCAGGAGTGCTATTTGTTTTTAGGCCTATAATAATACGCTTAACTTCTTCGGTATCTGTGGGCTCGAGGGACATAGACATAAGAGGTGCATTCGGTATTCTAGCCTTTATTGCCAATTCATTTTCACTCGTGTTTAGTTTTTGAAGTGTAATGTTAGCTAGGTTTCGCCCCACTGATGTGAAATACGAATTAACTTTGTCAAGAGATTTAGAGGGGGAAATATCAGCATCAAGTAATTCCTTAGGAGATTCCTTATTCGTATGTATGTTGCATACGTCTTTTATTATTTTCCATGTTTCTTTATTATTTTTAGCATTAATATGTAGTTTTTCTTCGTAATACTGCCTTTTAGAAAATTTAATTAATTTATTACACATATTACGATACTTTATATAGTTTGCGAGAAGTTCTTCATTATTCGGATGTAATTTTACTTTTAGGTGCATCTTGTTCCTTTTACGTATGGAAATAATAATGCCATGTGTAATCCATGGTTTAAGTGGTCTAAATTTTTTAGGTAACTCATTGATGACCGTGTTATTATTAACCACCGTAAGTAATTTTGTTAAAAACTGTTCTGCAGCAATATTTGCATCAGTTATATTAAATAGGTAATGCCACGTTTCTGCTGACAAGTAATTATTAATAGTATCATAGTTGGTATATTTTAATGTTAATCGATTATTATTACGAATAATTTTCTTAGATTTTATGCATAACAATATTGGGGCATGATCTGTTAACGGATCAAACACAAAAGTACGCCAAGTGTTAACACTTTTAATCATAAAGTGATCGATACAAGTATTTAGTCTAGTCGGAATATTAATGCCCTGCTTGAGACCATACATTGCAATTAGGTTAAGGTAATTTTGCACGTGCGTAGAACTATTCGATAGTATATTTAAATTTATGTCACCTGTCAAAATAATGTGAGGAGTATTATTATTCTTAAGAATATTTTCTAAAGAATGTAGATAACAATTTGGATTACAAAAACTAGGGGGTCTATAAGAACAGATGATTGAATATTCCGAATTTATATTTATAATCAAGCAATTTCCTTCTTGAAAGTGTGGTTCAGATACAGTTACTGATGAATTTAAAGAAGCATGAATGTAAACCACTACTCCATCATTTTTATTTAAATAATTAACGGTTTGATACATCTTGTAATCGGTAATTTGAGGTGGTGTGAAATTATTATTGGTCCAACATTCGGTTAAAACCAAGATATCAATATGAATACCAAGACTTACTACAAACGTTAGAAATAAATCAAAATTTTGATTTATACTGCGAATGTTGACGGACAGTACCATCAACAATCCATCTGCACAACCAAATAATTCTGAACACTTTGTTGGATCATTTAAATATGTGCAATTAATACTGTGGTACTCATCTATATCCGTTGTTATAATATTGTTAATTTTATCTATATTAAGATTAATATTTGTAAAACCAGTGCATATACATAACTCATTATGTTAAGCTTGAATATATTTTTGATAGCAACGAGTTTTATTAACCACTTGTTATAGTGTATATAAAAATTATGATAAATTTGTGAATTGTGGATTTCATGAAAGTGATATATGTTGTTAATAATGTGTTTAAGACGTATATTGTATGAACATATATGTGATTTCATTTGTTGGAGAAGAATGTAAGAGTATAATAAAAATATGTGTTTTGTGTATTGTAGTATGTATTTGTATATATAACTAAGTGCGCAACATTTAAATGAGAATATAGTAAGAAAAAGCTTAATAATTTCATTAAAAACTAAAGATATAAGGATAGTGAATAAACTTAACAAAAATATAAAATCTTTAAGGATGCAATATGTTAAGTGCAATATTAGTCATTTTTCTTTAATTTTTTCCAAATCAGCTTCACTTTCAATGCGAATTAGGGATGCTCCTTCTTTTTTTCGGAGGTAGACTTTGCCATGTGAAGTCCAACAAAATATATAATTGTTTACTTTTGCGAATTTTCTTGAAATTAAAAACAGATTTCTCGTTCTGCTAGGGAGAGACTCAGATATATAAATTAGATGGGACATGCCGTCAATTTGTATGTTTTTAGTGTTAAATTTATCTTTTTTATGGCTGTTATTATATTTCTTAAAAACATCAATAAAACGGTCGCGTGTTAATACACTAATGAAATCTACTATTATCGGTTTATTCGCCGATTTTGTGTTAATGCGATACACGTCTTTAATATCAGATCGGTTAATGTCTAGTTTAAGCTGTTGGCCTGATGTAATAACTATATCAGAGAGGTTTTCCTTTGTCTCATACGTTTTTTTAGGAACATTTCTTATTTCTAAACTAGTAGAACAGTGGTTCCGCTCAAGTTTTTCAACTTTTTTTTCAAGTAATTGAATATATTGCATATTAGCCTTTTTCTCCGACTCCAATTTATCGAGTTTATTAATCAAACCATCGTATTTTTCTGATAAGAAATCGATTGACTTTTGCACTGCAGAGTTTTGTTCCTTTATAACATTTAAAAATGAAGTAATTTTATCCTCTTGATCTTTTTGGAAACTCGTAAACATATCCTTAATTTCTTTTTTGAATAAATTTAATTCATCAGTGTAATCGTTACTTCGCTTTCTTTTACTACGCACCGATACAGTCGATGACGAATCGAAGTCTTGTGTAATAGGAAAATATGGCTCAGAATCATTATCGTCTTTTTTACGAGCAGCCGATTGTCGCTGTGACGGTGAGCGTTGCATATTTAAAATTTATAAAATTATGTTGTTTAGGTACCGCAATATCATAAATGTTAAAACTATCACAGACGTGAATGCTACAGAGGTCTAAAAATTTGGACGCTGATCGGTATCAGAGAACTGTGTCGCTTTCCGTCCAGTATAAACTGAACCCTCGATGCAAACAAGGTCACGTAAGTTGGACGTCAATGGGTATTTAGCGTAAATAATAAATAATGTCCACTGTATTTTGATCACTCAATAGATAAACTTAAGCAACTCACGTATTAATGAGGGTAATCTGACTTAATTGTTACACATTGCACAATAGGTCTTCTTGTTTTTATGCACTCCTACATATTTAGTTTTATTTACTGGTTAGAATTTCAATTATTGGAAGGATCGATTTATAAACAAACACGTCTGTCTCCTACAAAGGTCCGGAAGGGAACCTTCCGGACCTTTGTAGGAGACAGACAACTGCAAGACATTGCAACTAAGGAGACAGTGCAACTAAGCACCCTAGGTCCTACGATTTTGTTTACGTCCATATTTTTTTTACGTTCGTGGTTGAAATATGGATCTTCAAAGAGGCATGGGTGCAGTTGCGGAGTTTGACCGAAGGGCGGTTTGTGTGTAGGCGGGGGGCAGGTGCGTGCCGCGCGTGGAGCTGACGGCCAGCAACAACCAGGTGAGCGTGCACACGTGCTGGGACTCGGCGTCGGCGCTGTGCCGCCTGCTCACGTACGCGGCGGCCGACGGCGACGCCGCGCCGCCCGCGCCCGCGCCGCCCCCGCCGCCCGCGCCCCTCCACACCCACCCGGACCTCGCCAACGAACGTCTGCTCGGTAAGCCCGCACTCATCTGTCTGCTACGTCACTCTACTCTTAAGCGCGGCGCCCACCTACGTAACGTAACACGTAATCTGACGTGTGATTTGAAGCGTAACTTGTCATGGCTCCAGTACACGTTGGCCGAGCGCGCTTGGCGAGCGCACTCGGCAGATTTTCGTGGTGTCGTTCACACGTTGGCGTGTTTCATTCTGCGTTGGTAGCTAGATGATGATGGACGTTAGGGCAATCGCGGCCGCTGTCATATACTTATACAGCGCTTCACTCTTCTCAGAGTGAACGAAAAAAAAAACTACACATACAACAATAATCCCAGTTTGTCCTTTTTAGGGTTCCGACCTCAAAAGGAAAAAGAAACCTTTATAGGATCTACTAGCTGACCCGTGCCCGCTTCGCTGGGGGTTTTTTAAAAATAAATGATAGCCCAAAAGAAGCCCCTAAGCTACATTATCCCTGAGCAACATAAACGCAGAGATAATTTATAATAATATTTATCATTAACAATTACAACAACAACATTAACAATATTGAAAGAATTCAACGTAATTTTATTTCACACCTGAACTATAAATTTAAACATAATAGCTCATCATATTTAGATGACTGCCGACACTATAACCTTCTTCCGCTCGAAGAAAGACGAGCACTGTTAGATATGGGATTTCTATATGATATTTTACGCGAAGGTATTGACTGTCCGGATTTACTGAATAATGTCACGTTTAATGTGCAAAAAAAAACGTACTAGAATCACCAAGGAAACTATGTTTTGTATTCCTCGTCACTCCACACTTTACGGTAAAAATAGTATCTTAACACGATTGTTATCAAATTATAACAAAACATTTAATACCATCGATCCCTTTATAGGCAGTAAAAGTGATTTTACAAACAAGGTACGTGCATTCATTTTGAACACAGCTTCTGTTGTTTGAATTACCTGTATTTGTAACCATTTATGTAGGATGCAGGTAAGGTACATTATGAAGAACACTTTCTGTAGGTATCTATATTTAAATAATAAGTAAACTATGTAATATTTTAGAATATGTATGTATATGTGTATATATATATATGTATATGTATATATATATATGTATATGTATATATATGTATATATATATATATATATATATATATATATGATAGATATAATATAATATGCCATGATATAAATAAATTAATAAAAAAAATACTCGAGAAGTAAATCGCATATCAATTTATCAGTAAGGCTTAATATGTAAGTGTTAGTAAACCTAAAATTACTTAATTTTTATTACTGTTATTTTATTAAGCTGTTTTAAATTGGTCTAATTTGCATTGTTTTTATTTATTATAATTGTACCTGGCTTACCTTTATATTTAATATGTGGATGACTGTTATTGGCATACTTGAAGTGAAATTGAAAATTGTATTTAGTGATATACGCTGTTGTTATCCTTATTAAAATAAAAATAAAATAAAAATAAAATCATTAGGTAGGTACTCTGAAATCGCAACTAAACATGTATTATCTAATGCAGTTAGGCAAGTTACTTACTCTGGTTTTATTTTTATGTTGCTCATGTTTGGGGTTCCATATAACTGATTCATTGTGAGAATCAATCAATGAACAATGAATCAATATTTCACTCCATAATTATTAAATCGTAATGTGTTGGTATGCATATAAGTGACATTAAAAATATATTATATTGAATTGTATATTTTTTCATAATATTATATAATATTTATTTATATATACATGCGTGTATATATATATATATATATATATATGTGTGTGTGTGTGTATGTGTGTGTGTATGTATATATTTGTATTGTATATGTATATTTATGTAAGTACACACTGACTACCTCTATTTCTTTCAACTATCCTTCAATAGGCCTGCTGGAAGAAATTTCATCATGGCATATGCCTTTGTACATAATTATGTTTTTACCATTTTCCTATCGAATTATGTGTGTACATAAACTGTTAAATAAATAAATAAATATTTCCTCCTTAGTGCATGTCGCCATGTTGAAATAATTTTATTAAGCCAACACTACAGTCTACTCCGACGCGTAACTATGAACTGAACACTCGGCCAACGTGTGAACACTGTTTGCGGCTTGCGCCAAATTCCTTTGATTTGTGACGGAAAACCGACACTATACGGCTCGTCGGCGAGCGTTGGCCGCGAACGCCAAATATATACAAAACGGCCCAGTACACGTTGGCCGAGCGCACTCGGCGAGCGCGCTCGGCCAACGTGTACTGGAGCCATTACTCGCCTCAACATTCAAAGGGATTGTATGTACTAGCGCCCATTCGCGTGGCGTGACGCCGCATGACCTGACGTGCCATTCAGCTTGCTACTAGTGACGCATTGAAGTGGCGCGTAATACGAAACTTGTAGTGACTTGTCTATACAAAATGAAAGGCGACCTAGCTTGTAATATTAAATTCATTGAGTTAATTCATGAAAGACCATGTTTATATGATTATACTAAACCCGATTACAGTAACAGGAACTCTCAAGATGCTTCTTGCAATTTGTAGTGCAAATCAATAGTGTGTACTTGGGTGCAAGTCACAGAACAATATTCCTAAGTACAGTGTTTTGAGATACTGTTTATATGTGTTTATTAATTAGCAACGATCTTGAGATGCTGATATCGTCACGAGGGCGTATCAAATGATTACGCACTTGAGTTCGTCGTTTAGTGACGTTTATTAATACAGGCCTATGTCTAATGTCGCCATGTCACTTGATTTCTGAACACTTGACACTTCCTAGAAGCTGGTACCCTGTAGAGAATTTATGTTTAATGGTGCTTTAAGCCCAGCCCGATATGACGTTATTACTCTTACCTTTAAACGTGGTAGAGCCATTCTACAGGTATGTTATAGTTGTAGCACGTATGACTCGGCTCTACCGGGGTTGGAATACGCTCTCACAGAATACCAACGTAAAATAGTAGCTTATTGCTGTTAGGTTTCGTATGCTAAGTGCATGGAACCGAAAACCCCTTTTACTAGAAACGAGGCATTCCATCCTTGTTCTCCGCGGTGACAACGCATCTGCATTTTGATTCTGTATTGAGAATTTCATGGATTATTATGGACCACAGTACTCTCTTACCATCAGATAGACTGTGTGCTCGTTTGTTAGTTTATTCTATAAAAACAATTCTACACACAAAAGAAAATACCCCCGTATTACTTATATGCTGAAAAATGATAAAGATGTTTCTTCATAAAATATAAGTGACAAACGAACTCACTGTCCATCTCATAGTAAGTGGCACAGTGATAAGACACCTGCAACTATCTTCAAATAAAGAAGACTACAGATACGTGTCACCTCCGAGGACTACGATGGAATACCTTACAGCCTGCCAATAAACTGGCTCTCCCTTCGGACCGGAACAGAACAGTGCACATACCGCTATTCTGCGACTATTAATAGAGTAGTTGTTGGTTGGTTGATGGAAAAGAAAAAAGTATTACTTAAAATTAAATTATTATAAAAAATTTAAATAATATTATTTAAATGTCCTTAGTGTATGTTTCATTTATTTGTTTTAGGTCTGGACGATCGACCAATAGAAGAAATTAGAGAGCTGTCCCCAAGTGAAATTCAACAAGTAAATGATCTCATGGCTGAAGCAATGAAAGAAAGCCCCAATAATATGGGTGAGTATTTATAATATTTATTTAATAAATCATAATGTGATTACGTAGAGCATAAATTATATTAATTATGATGGCCACTCACATGTGTAAAAATGTGTAATCCACAAATATAAACATTTTACTTTACTTTACTTTTTTTGGTAATGTAGATTTACAGGTTAGTACGCAAATAACATTGCATATTAATTTGTAAATATGAGTGCGATACTAAAAAAATGTATGCACAGTTCTTATGTGTATACACAAATCTTAGCAAATATAAGCATAACCAGAATTATAATATCATCATCATCACCGTCATCATTATTACAGCCCTTCACAAGTCCACTGCTGAACATAGGCTTCTCCCAAGGAAGCCACAAAGCACGGTCCTCTGCCACCTGCATCCATCGCCCTACGCTTCGCCCACTGGTACGAGGCTGCCACTCGAGAACCTTTTTTGCCCGTCGGTTGTCGGTTCTTCGAGCTATATGAGCGGCTCATTGCCACTTCAGCTTACTAATTCGTTGGGCTTTGTGGTTACTGGTTCTACTGCGGATATCCTCATTTCTAAGCTTATCACGCAGAGAAACCCCGAACATAGCCCTCTCCATAGCTTGCTGAGCGACCTTGAGCTTCCTCATACGGCCAGCAGTGAAGGATCACTTCTCAGTTCCATAAGTCATTACTGGCAACACGCACTGGTTGTATAGTCTCGTTATCAAGTTTTGCTGTATAGCTGACGAAAAAATGTGTCGTAATTTCCCGAACTCTGCCCAGCCGAGACTATTTGTCCCAGGTAAACATACTCGTCAACAACTTCGAGCAGCATAAGTGTGACATGGACGTTAAACATGACTTTTGTTTTGTCCATGTTTGTCTTAAGTCCTATCCGTTGGGAGACGCTATTGAGGTCATTGAGCATAGTGCTTAGGTCCTCCAGCGATTCTGCCATAAGAACTATATCGTCGGCAAATCGGAGGTGAGTAATGTACACGCCATTGATGTTAATACCGTATCCTTTCCAGTCCAGTAGCATGATAACGTCGCCCAATGCAGCGGTGAAGAGTTTCGGGGATATAACGTCACCCTGTCTTATACCTCTCTGCAGTTGGATAGGTTTCGTACTCTGGTACTGTAGTCGGATAGCCATCGTAGTCCTACTGTACAAACACTTTAACACCTCGATTTACCTACAGTCAACTTCACACCGCTGAAGGGACTGCAGCGCCGACCAAATTTCGACGGAATGAAAGGCTTCCTCATAGTCCACATACGCAAGACATAGTGGCAAGTCCCAGGTGTCCCAGATGCTGCCACACTCGGTTTTCAGCTTCGACAGTTGGCTTTTTCGGGCAAACAGATCTCTGGCAAAGACTTTGGAGCCATGGTTCCGCTCGATCGCTTCTTCAATACGAGCCGTATTAAAGTTGTGTAAGTCTCGCCGCATGCAGTTGGAGATCTGTCTTACCAGTTGCCTGTATGCTGTCAAATCTACTGAAGACTGCAGCTTCATATCCCGTCTAAGAGCCATGAGATTAAGAGTGTGATCGGAGAGTTTATGTGTTCTTCTGCGGCGCGTTTTGCAGAACTTAGCTCCTACCGCATGGACAGTTTCCACGAGCTTGTCATTCATATCGTCCACTGATTTGCAATCTTCTAGGCACTGAAAACGGTTTTGTAACTCGAGCTGAAACGTTTCGGGACTTTGGAACAAAGCACGAAGGGGACGGAGCGTTGACTTCATTAGACGAGACCTTTCCAACTTAACGTTTAGGTCAGTGTGCCTGTAACCATTCGGTGATCGCTGCCAGTTTTCACCCTCGCGGTCTCTGAGACATCACTGAACAGTTGCCGTCTAGGTATCATAATGAAGTCAATCTTATTTTTCATCGAACCGTCGGGGCTCGACCAGGTCCACTTTCTGTAGGGCCGCTTCTGGAAGAGAGAGTTCATCATAAAGAGTCCCTCTTTTTCCATGAAGTCGGCCTAGCCTGAAGGGGTCACCCTTAGGTTCCGTTGCCCTATTCCACAAATTGCCGTACCTGAAGCTCACCGTTCTCTTTTGTGCCTAGTTTTGCGTTGAATTATAATATATTCATATTAAATTGCTATAATTTTAATGCCGTAATATATTTTTATTGCCTCTCACTGCCACAATTCAAGATCCAAGCACTCAACAGTAATTTTGGTGGCCCTTAACTTTACTATTGTTGCAGTAGATGAAGATGAACTAAATAGTTCAACGGAAAAAGAGGGAGTGGAAATATTTTTCTTCCCCGACGAATCGAATATGAAGACCAAACAGCTTTCTTCCGAAACCTTGAACACAGAAACCGAACCAAAATCCTTAGATTTTGATGACACTCCGCCTGTTACTGCCGAGGAGGTTCTTGAAGATAAACCTGCCGCCGCACAATCTACAAAAGATGTTACAGATCCGCCAACCACGCCGAAAGGCTCACCACGGAAATCAAAACGTAAAAAGGTAACTGATTTTAGACTTTAGTAATAATAAAATTATGTGAAAAGTTGATACTAATTTCGTGCTAATAATTTATTTTATATTATTACGAGCTAACAGTTCACTTAATGGTAAGTGGCTACTGTAGCCAAAAGACACCTATAACCAGATTCAAATAACAAGCCCTATGGTTGATACAGTAGTAAAAAAACTCGACCGCGTAAAAAAGTTTACTCAAAAGAGAATTTGTTTATATCCTATGCCCTTTCCACAACTAAAACAAATCTGCCGACATCCCATTTATTAAAATCCATTACGCTGTTAAGGCAGGGCTCCGTCATTCGCTCAAGATCTCGCGCTATATATACCTATCTGCTAGCGTACTCCCGGGAGTACAAAGTATCAGTGGGGTTTCGCACGCTCTAAAGATGGATAATTTAATTTTAAACATTAACATAAACAGTTCAAAATAAATAACACATTTATTAAATAAATAATATTAACCATAATAAATGAAATTATCATATCATATTATATTTATAAAAATTGCCATAATATATTTTGAAGTGTTAATATTATTTTATTTTAACAGATATAAAATGATATTTTTAACTTATAGGAGTCATAGTGTGACTCCTATATGTTATTTGATCTGTCACACAACTAAACCGAAACAACCACAAACTAACTTGTAATCACTTCGTGAATAAAAAATTTACCACTTAACCACGCGCGACCTTGTGTTACTCTCGAGAGTACAAGTATCAGTAGGATTAAGTTTAATAAGAGTAATAAATAATAATATACAGAAGGAAATAAAGATAATAATTACATATATACATTATATATATATATATATATATATATATGGTTGTTTTTCAAAAAGTAGCCAAATTTCAAACTTTAGTTCAAATATATAAATAATAATATAAAGCTATTGCAGTTTTGGAAAATACCATTAAATAAAGGCTTCTACTTTTATTTGAATTTATCCCAAGTTGAATGTGATTTTTACGGGCAATAACATTTTTGTCTACCGATCGATCTTTACGAATCTATGCGTGCCCAGTAAAATCAGTTAAAATAATGCATTACCACGCATTTTAAATTTAAAATATAAAAAGGACAGGATGTTTGAGATATTTTTAAACCATTTGCCTATATTACTTATTCTCAACCTTCTCTGCTAATTTGGCCGGTTATTGCAAAATAACCCTGTATATTTATAAAACTCAAACATATTTGATTATTTCATAATCAAGACAGATGAAACAGAAAATATATTTCTGCTTGCAGCTAACATCTGTGTTTATTATTAAGATTTTGTAGTCTATCATAGCGTAGATATTTTCTACATCTAGTAGTTAGGATACAGATCGTGCCAAAGAAAAAGATATACGTAAATGCATACATACATACATACATACTCGAAAAACATTACCCACCTTCTGGGGCAGTCGGGTAATAAAGTAGACGATGTGACATCATCTTAGGACTAAAATAAAATGCTTCATATTCTATAATATTGGTTATATTAGATATTCAAACTTGAACTGCTAATATCGACTATTCGTCCACTGACTGGATTCGAGATGCTTGGATTCGAATTAATAATTTCTTTCTTCTTTTTTTTTAATTTAAATATTGTTTATTTGCATAATTAATGGAAGTTCTAAATTTGAACTGTATGCTCGAATAGATTAAATCTGGCGGCGATGGTAGTAACACAGACGACGAATATTACATTGTGGAGAAGACTGCATACGGCCAAGATAACGAAATGGATGAGCCAGTCGTGAACTGGATTGGCCCTGGACCAGTTTATATGGTTGATAACCATTTCACAGTGCCTGCTGCCAGAACTGATGTACTCAAGGCACCTAAAAGTTTTCCAACGCCGGTGCTACGGTAAGCATTATACCACATGAAAACATTTATGGTATTCGTCTATATTTTCAAAATGGGCTTATTATAATGGTTTATGTAGTTAGTTCGACCCACTTACCCTTTCTTGCCGTTTTGTACCTGAGGTAATACCAAGGATGCGTTGTAAGTGTAATGTAATCTGACAAGACTTAATAGTGTGATTCTAAAACATGTAACTATCCCTCCCAAGCTTAAGTAAGTCTTAACGATTAGCCATCGCAGAAATCTATTTCTATCGTGGGTGCCTTGTTTAGAGGCGAAACACGTATCGTTATATCGACGACGGTATTGTATTTTTCCTAGTGTGTAGTAGTGTTAAGATTAGTGGTGTTGGAAGTAGTGAAGTTGGTCTTAATGCTGGTAGTAAAGTTTTTATATAATGCATTTCTGTAAGGTATTCCTGATTTTATTAATTATCTTATCATTCAACGGAACTTAAATTTATAGAACGTAATGAAAGTTAATGATATAAAAACGTTTATAATATTTCCAGGTACACACTTTGTGAGATGAGCTTAACTTGGAACATGTACGGTGGCCACGATTTCAAGAATGCCGGCGACACGACTACCACCAAAAAGACTGTCACTATTGAAGGCGACAAACGGAAACAAGGATCGCCTATTATCTCCAAGTAAATGCTAAACGTACATATTCCCAACAAAGGTCTTATGATTAGTACATCAACCATTTTCAAAGTGCGAACGATGAAGACTTTTCAAATACACTTTAGCGTTAGGTTTTGACGTTGCGGGATAATGTTCACCCATGTGTAATTTGTTTACAAAACACGCCTCTACATTATAATGATAATACTATGTTTTAAAACAATAATACAATTGTATAACTCTAATAATATTAATCGTAATAACAATCTTTTCGCTACAGACGGAGCAAGGAGTACGAACCATACGAAAGTGGACATGCCATATCTGAAACGTACCGGCACGGTGTTAGCTGGGCCGCGGGCACCGAGCGGGTGCGCGGTGTGGCGCCACCGCACCGTGAGCTGCGGACACGTGGCGGAGTGCACCGCGATCACCAGACCTGCGTCAAACTGCGCCTTGCTAAGGTAACACCGCACTACACTGCACCCCGACCACCACACATGCGTCAAACTGCGCCTTGCTAAGGTAACACCGCACTACACTGCACCCCGACCACCACACATGCGTCAAACTGCGCCTTGCTAAGGTAACACCGCACTACACTGCACCCCGACCACCACACATGCGTCAAACTGCGCCTTGCTAAGGTAACACCGCACTACACTGCACCCCGACCACCACACATGCGTCAAACTGCGCCTTGCTAAGGTAACACCGCACTACACTGCACCCCGACCACCACACATGCGTCAAACTGCGCCTTGCTAAGGTAACACCGCACTACACTGCACCCCGACCACCACACATGCGTCAAACTGCGCCTCGCCAAGGTAACACCGCACTACACTGCACCCCGGCCACCACACATGCGTCAAACTGCGCCTTGCTAAGGTAACACCGCACTACACTGCACCCCGACCACCACACATGCGTCAAACTGCGCCTTGCTAAGGTAACACCGCACTACACTGCACCCCGACCACCACACATGCGTCAAACTGCGCCTTGCTAAGGTAACACCGCACTACACTGCACCCCGACCACCACACATGCGTCAAACTGCGCCTTGCTAAGGTAACACCGCACTACACTGCACCCCGACCACCACACATGCGTCAAACTGCGCCTTGCTAAGGTAACACCGCACTACACTGCACCCCGACCACCACACATGCGTCAAACTGCGCCTTGCTAAGGTAACACCGCACTACACTGCACCCCGACCACCACACATGCGTCAAACTGCGCCTTGCTAAGGTAACACCGCACTACACTGCACCCCGACCACCACACATGCGTCAAACTGCGCCTTGCTAAGGTAACACCGCACTACACGGCACCCCGACCACCACACATGCGTCAAACTGCGCCTTGCTAAGGTAACACCGCACTACACTGCACCCCGACCACCACACATGCGTCAAACTGCGCCTTGCTAAGGTAACACCGCACTACACTGCACCCCGACCACCACACATGCGTCAAACTGCGCCTTGCTAAGGTAACACCGCACTACACTGCACCCCGACCACCACACATGCGTCAAACTGCGCCTTGCTAAGGTAACACCGCACTACACTGCACCCCGACCACCACACATGCGTCAAACTGCGCCTTGCTAAGGTAACACCGCACTACACTGCACCCCGACCACCACACATGCGTCAAACTGCGCCTCGCCAAGGTAACACCGCACTACACTGCACCCCGACCACCACACATGCGTCAAACTGCGCCTCGCCAAGGTAACACCGCACTACACTGCACCCCGACCACCACACATGCGTCAAACTGCGCCTTGCTAAGGTAACACCGCACTACACTGCACCCCGACCACCACACATGCGTCAAACTGCGCCTTGCTAAGGTAACACCGCACTACACTGCACCCCGACCACCACACATGCGTCAAACTGCGCCTTGCTAAGGTAACACCGCACTACACTGCACCCCGACCACCACACATGCGTCAAACTGCGCCTTGCTAAGGTAACACCGCACTACACTGCACCCCGACCACCACACATGCGTCAAACTGCGCCTTGCTAAGGTAACACCGCACTACACTGCACCCCGACCACCACACATGCGTCAAACTGCGCCTTGCTAAGGTAACACCGCACTACACTGCACCCCGACCACCACACATGCGTCAAACTGCGCCTTGCTAAGGTAACACCGCACTACACTGCACCCCGACCACCACACATGCGTCAAACTGCGCCTTGCTAAGGTAACACCGCACTACACTGCACCCCGACCACCACACATGCGTCAAACTGCGCCTTGCTAAGGTAACACCGCACTACACTGCACCCCGACCACCACACATGCGTCAAACTGCGCCTTGCTAAGGTAACACCGCACTACACTGCACCCCGACCACCACACATGCGTCAAACTGCGCCTTGCTAAGGTAACACCGCACTACACTGCACCCCGACCACCACACATGCGTCAAACTGCGCCTCGCCAAGGTAACACCGCAATACACTGTTATCCTTACTACTTAAGAGGCCCGTGTGAAACAGTGAATTTACGGACTTCATTCATTACCTTTATAACTATTTACATAACATAAATGTTTAAACAATGTTTATTATTTTAATAAAAAAACAACTGAAACTAAAAATTAAAGCTATCGTTATATAGCCCTACTTCTCGCGGCCATTACCAAGAATATTTCTGCGTTTCCTCACTGAATGACTATACTCAACCTTTGAGCGAGAAAGAAACAGCGCCCATGATAGTTTTTTAGGTTATTTCAAAATCTTAATTTTTAAATTTATATTTTATTGCTTAAAAAAGAGGCAAAATATCCAGCTTTGAGAGAATGAGGCATCTTAACTTCAAGTTCTTTGATACCGCAATCGCCAATGAACTTGCCAAGCGTTGAGATTGTGGCAAACCAGATAATACCTAAATTTAGCACCGAACGGTTTGCATGCTAATGCTAATTTTGTCAAATTTTCTATAGGTGAAATTTCAACACGAAGTGTACCCTTCTGGAGGGACGCAGGCGTCTCGTCAGACCCTCGCAATCACGAAGATAGAGGTGTTGGACCGGCTTGTGTGCAGCGACATCAACAAACTACTCAGTCAGTACAAGCTGAAGGATGAGCCTGAGAGAAATAATGCGCATATGGTACGATAATAATGTTTCTTTTATTTCCTGTTAGTCTTTTACATTATAGGTGTGATACAGTGTTGTAAGAGAATTACCGCATTACGTCCTGAGGGTGTCGTAAGAGGCGAATATGAGAAATACGCAAAAATACGAGACTTCAGGTACTTTGATTGTCAATCCACCTGCCCAGTGTGACGATTAAAACAAATCTTCCCTAACACAAAAGAGGCTTACGGGGAAAAAAGAAGTTAAAATGTTGCACTTACCGAGCAAAAGTATAAAGAAATACTACTCATATAAAATCACTAACTAGATTTGTGAAATTTGGTACACTTGTCAAGTTTGACAACCATTGCTTGTTATCATTGTGCCTTAAAGTTACAGACTATATACGTCCCACCGCTGGGCACAGGCATCCTTTCATTCCTGAGAGGGTTTTATGGCATGGAAAAATCGACCGCGCTGCCCCAATGCGTGTTGGCGAACCTCACATGTCTTCGAAATATTTTTTTTTTCTTATTTTTAAGACATGCCGTTTTCCTCACATTGTTTTCCTTCACCGCCGAGTACGTGTTAAATCAGCACTTAAAATTGCAACTAACAATTTCATTAGTGCCGGTGGGGAACGAATCTGAATTGCTCACGTACTGTGAAATTTAAAGCGAGCGCTTAGCCCCAGAACTACCACAGTTGAGCTACCATTGTGTCTTAAGACAGCATTATGATGATTATGAGATACCTGAAACTTTCGATCCCATGATATAAGTATAAGTAATACAGCTTATAAATGATATACGTCCCACTGTTGAACACAGGCCTCCTCCCATTATAATAGAATTATGGAGCAATTAGTCCACCGCGCTGCTCCTGTGCTTGTTGGCGGACTTCACATATTTTAGAAATATTCGGTAAATAATTCATTAGCCTGCGGGGATCAGTTGTTCACACAGTGTGAAATATTCAGCGAACGCTTAGCACCTGAGCTACCAAAGTTCTTACCAACATAAGACTTTGTAGTGTAAGTAATATACATATATATATGAAGTGCTGCGCACATTTCAAGTGAGGTGGAAATCAATCCAAAACTATGCTCAACTTATTGTAAGAACACACACTCATTCAAACACAAGCGTTTAAAATCGTTTGCAAACCATGACATGGTTTTAAATGCATATAACTGTCCAGTAGTGGATTTTTAGGAGCTGTTACAGAAAGAAAAAAAAAACGATATGTGCGTGAGTGCGTGTCACAAATTGAGCGTGGTTGCACCTTTACTTGGAATTAGACATGCGCGCCGAGCAAGAATTTGGCGGCGGCGGCGCGCCGACCCATTGTGGTCGGCGTGGCGACGCCGCGCCGGCGTGGCCGTATTTTATTTTAATTTTTATAAACATTTGTTTAAAATAAGGTAGTAACAAGTGAAACATTGACCTAGATAGGAATTCAAATTTAATTTCTCAAAAAAAAAACAAACCAAACAAGTTCTAATTAATTATACCTTATAATTTGTACAAAAACGAAAAAGCACATTTTTTCGTTTTTTGCACAAATTATAGGAAATTAAAATTGTGTTTTTTGCACAATGTATAATTATCATGAATAAAAATAATTTTATTAACGCGTACTGGGCTTAGTCTAGATCTTTTAGCAGCCACAGTTAGTCCCACTATAGAAAAAACGCGCTCACTTGGCGGTTCTGATCACAGAGTACTTTTTATATACGAGGGTGGATTGAAAAGTACTCGGCCTAACCAAGAAAATAAACAAATACTAAATCAGTTATATTTTTATTTTTCTACATAATCACCATCAAGTTCAATACACTTTTGCCACCTCCCCTTCCAAGCATTTAGACCGTTGAAAAAAAATGATTCTTCCTTAGAGTCAAAATATGCGTCTACAGCTGCTTTGACCTCGTCGTTTGTCGAAAATCTTTGACCTCCCAAGTGCTTTTTTAGGTTAGGGAACAGAAAGAAGTCTGATGGTGCCAGATCAGGTGAATACGGCGGATGCGGTAACAGTTCAAAGCCACAGTTTCAATTGGCAGTCAATTTCAGCCATTGACTGTACTGACGTGTGAACGCGGGCGTTATCTTGATGAAACAGGACTTTTCTTCTGAGCATTCCTCGACGTTTTTCTTTTATTTCCTCTCGTAAACGACGTAGTAAGGTGCAGTAGTAATCAGAGTTTATATTCTGACCCCTTTCAAGATAATCAATCATAATCACACCTTTCGAGTCCCAGAATACTGAAGCCATCACCTTATTTGCCGACAAAATCGACTTACCCTTTTTAGGGGGTGGTGAACCAGGTCTTCTCCACTGTTTTGATTATTGTTTTGTTTCCGGTGTACAGTAATGAACCCATGTTTCGTCCATAGTAACAAAACGATTCAAAAAATCATCTGCATCGGCTTCAAATAACTCCAAACAGTCGCGTGAAATAGTCAATCGCGTCCTTTTTTGTTCAACTGAAAGCAGTCGCGGAACCCACCTCGCAGACACCTTGTGGAAACCCAACTCGTTGACAATTATGTTTTGAGTTCGTTCATAAGAGATGCCTATAATCTCGGCTATCTCTCTAATTTTTAATCTGCGGTCTCCCATTATTAAATCAAGTACTTTTTTAATATTTTCGTCAGTAGTTGACGTCGAAGGCCTTCCAGAGCGGGGTTCATCTTTCACACTCTCTCTACCACGCTTAAATTCTGCTATCCATTTTTTGACGGATGAATATGACAGAGCACAATCGCCTAATGTACTGACCATGTCATCATGGATGGCTTTTGATGATAGCCCCTTCTTATGGAGGTACTTAATGACGGCACGCTGCTCGATTTGCTCCATTCGCGGAAATTATGTCCGATTACTTTGTTAATAAATTTATAAAAACACAACTAATTATCGCACACGTTTCGAACTTCACACAATGAACTAGTCTGAACTGAACTAAATAATGTGGGTAGATTTGATTTTTAGAATTGAATGGATATGTGTTAGGCCGAGTACTTTTCAATCCACCCTCGTACATAAAGTTCTGATACGCGCTCCAGAGACTGTAAAAATTTAATTTGTTCTATTTCCGCCGCTCGCTTCAATTCCGGTAAGCGATACCGAACGATTTTTACGATCTTTTTACATTTTTTTATTGATTTTTGAATTTTTAAATAATAGCATGGTTTTATTGACCCCGCGCCCGCGCGCCCGTCCCGCGTTGGATTACGGCGCGCCGATCGGATTTGTCGGCGCGGCGCAGCGTGGGCAGGGCGCGGCGTGGCGCGGCGGCGCCGGCGCGGCGCGCATGTCTACTTGGAATATACTCAGCGCTTCTTTGTTGGTCTGAGGCGTGGGTATCGTAATGCGGACGTTCGCTCGCAACTGGCCGCTCTGTTAGACACACCCACTGGCACAACTTGCGCATAGATAGATAGATAGATAGAAAATTCTTTATTGCACTCAAATAAAAATTTGGTACAAAGGCGAACTTAATGCCAAAAAGGCATTCTCTGCCAGCTAACCTTTGGTAGTGTGGTGAAAGCTATGGGTAGAGCCACAACAGAGGAAAAAAACTAACTTATTTTCACATATTATTCAATAATATAATATAATATAAATATGTTACTTTATACATATTTACACTTCATATATAAATGCATACACATGTATATAAATGTATATATAAACAAAAATACATACTATACCAATAAAATACATACAATCTAGTATAGGAAATTATAATATTATATAAACCAATAACATTAATCAAGTAATTTTAAATAATGTGCCTTAACCCTACGTTTAAATGTATTTATACATGCCTTTTGTTTATTATATATATTTTATACATACATTCCATACGTACGTGCCTAACCACAAGTGCAGTTCACGCGCGCTTATGAATTGCAAAAACTATAAGCCATCGCCTCATTCCTGCACAGTTGGTAGTGAAAGCGGTCCACCTGCGTCCCGACCCGGCGTTGAGCGCTCAGGAATGCTGTCTCAAAGTGTCGCTGCTGCCGTTACGGTTTAACCTCGATCAGGACACGCTTGCCTTCCTCGTCGGATTCTTCTCCAAGCTCGGCTCCGACGAATGCAGTGGTGAGTGAAAATATTAGTGATATTTATTGAGATACATAGAAAATATTTTTTTAATTCCATAAAAATGTAAATTGTATGACTCTTTAATCAGGCTATGATATTTGAAATTTTGTATTTATTACATATATAATACTTCTTAATCTTCATTTTTTTACTGTCTAGCAGTGAACAAGAACATGAGACTCGTCCATTGTAGGAACGATAAGCAACAATCGACACGCTTAGCGAGCGAGTGGGCAATTGTACTAACAGACGTTTCGCACCGCTGCTGCCCGTCGCTGGTCTGGATAATTAACATTTAAAATTATACGAGATAGTCTTTATATAACTTCCAATTTTAGTTCTCTATGACATGAAATCCACGGGACGAAATTAGGTGCTAGAATCGATGATGAGAGAGATATAGATATTAAATATCATTATTTACATGTGCAAAAATTAGATTGGAAAAAACTTCACTTTGATACCATTTTTCTAACTTTGCACGCAGAAGACGACACGAAGAGTGTAACAAGCGGTCTATCGACAGATTCAAGCGGATCCCGTCAAACAACGCCCACGCACCGGCCGCCAGTAATGAGCATTGCCAGCCACTTACGAGATCCGCCGCCGACACCCACTTCTCTGGGCGATGCGGACTCGCTGTCGCTTAATGAAACTGGTTATTACAAAGTTAATATTAAGGATATTGGAATAAGTTATCAAACTAGTATGAACTGCATACGAGTGTGGTAACTTTACGATCTACACACCTTATTTAATTTTCATAATATAATGTTCATGTCAATTTCCATCCAACTCAAACACAAACAATATATTTTTTTAATATGACGAATTATTTTTTTACGGTGTAATAAATTATCAAAACTTAATTTTGTTAATAAACACAAAATATTCATGATGTGACAAATATACAATATGTATCAATTAGTCAAGAGCTGTAACTAATCTTCTAATATATAAAAAATTGTTTATTTCTTCGTATTTTATGCGCTGTCATACCGTTCATCAGATTGCGCTGAAACTTTGTCAAATTATTGCTTGCACTTGCGCGAAGGTTATAGGCATAGTACAATTAACTTTCAGTAGGTGACGCGCGTATCGTACCGAAAATTTAATTTGAAAGTTGTAAATCATTCAATTTCAATGAATGTATTATCATTTCTAATCAAACAATTTAACTCTTCCAAAGAACAATGGCAGACTTTCATACATAAAATTAGTTGTGAAGGAATGGTAGCGTCTATATATCAAAAAGTTAAGCGTCAGTCCCTTAATAACTCTGTCAAAGAATTTTGTCCTGAGAAGGCATCAAAAAAAATGATATTTAGATTTGAACCTTTTTAGGTTATGTCTTATGCCACTTGGAAAAAGTCATGCTTCCTGTGGTTGTTTGATGTTAGCTTAATACATAATACATAATTGAGAGTTCTTAGATTGTTGTATCTCTATTATATATTTGCATACTATTAATGTATATTTCAGGCAAGGCTCCAGGGCCTTTGTGTCATAGTGGTGTTATCAGAAGGGCTAGAACCCAGAGCCGTAAAGCCAGTAAAAAAACTGTGACATTTTGTTTTAGCTAGTGTTGCCATAACATTAAATGGAATTGGTACATAGTACTATGATTGAGATAATGTATTATTGTAGGAAGTTCTTTGTAAGAGACTTATTCTCAACCATATAACTTTTATTTTTATTATTACTGATAGTATAGTTATTACTAATAATAACTTAATATAAAAATATTTTGTGTATTGTGTTGGTAGTCTTAAAAAGTGTATACGAATATAGTACTAATTTACCAAATGACAACACTTGAATAGAGTAAAATGATTTAAGTCATTTGATATTCCCAAAAACGTTTGTTTTTTTTTCTGTGGCTTTAATTAAAATACATTTTTATTTGAAAAATCATAGAAAAATAATAAAACTCATTTTATATATAACATATTTTTAGACGCGATAATTTTTGTCAACTATTTTTCTGCCATTGTTCTTTAAAACGATATTTCCGCAATTAATTTTTTCTGCGGCTGCGACGCGCAAGACCAGCTAGTAAATTATATAAATTACACAAACGTAAATATTCAAATTCCTCAAGTGATCCGTGACGATGAGCCGCTTATGGAGACCTATGAAGCTGAACGCTTGGTGTCTGAGAACTTGATCCAACTGGAAGAGGACTTCCAGAAGCTCGGCATTAATCAGGAGAAACCCACCACCAGGCTTCCAGTGGAAACTGAGGCGGTTGACGACTCGCCTATCTATTTCAGGTAGAGGTTTTTCTTTATTTTAAAATTAATCAGTACTTTTATAACAAGTCTCCTTCTCCATCAGCCCATCAAAGTCTACGGTTACACAAGGACCTCTCCAGTTGCTTGGGGGATTTGCTTTAAGTCAAGCATCGGGTGCCGTGTAGTGGCGGTGTACGAATATACCGTGGGTGTCGTAAGAGGCAACAAAAGGAAACAAATCATGAGATGGGCAGGAGCGTCTTCCTAAAAACGACCAAAAATAAAAAATAAAACTACGGTTGCCAACCCGCTTATAAAACGTGGCATCTATGGCAAATAACCCCCCTATGAGGCAATTTATGGGGGAGATCTATGTTCAGCAGTGGACTTTAACACGCTGTAATGTTAACGGTAACGGTCAAGCATCGGAGGCAGTTTGACGATTAAAGAACCAGATGCCTACCACCCTTGACACTGTTGCCTGTCGCTGGTCTGGGTGTGTAACGTCTGTCGTTAATGTGATATCTACACCACCATCTTTTGAAAGCCATAATTTTTTTCTGGCATTTCCCGTAGTTGTCTCTTACAACACCGACTGAACAATATGGGGTGATGGATTACCTTACACTGCCAAAAGTATTATACGTGTCTACAAATTGATAGTCATTAAAAAAATAACTCAAAAATTATTGGTCAGACCTTGAACAAATTTATATGGTACCACATGTGAAGCAGCAGCTTTCAAATAAAAAGAATGATCGAAATCGGTGTGCCCACAAAAAAGTTATAAAGGTAACACATAAAAAAAAGTCTAGTTGAGTACCTCCTACTGTTTGAAGTCGTTAGAAATATATACTAATTTGCTCGTTTTATCATACATACTCCGACGCACAAGTATCATAATCATAAGCTATATCGTTATCGTCTGCAACCTCTTTTGGAACGAAGTTCCTTATCGGACGGTACGGGTTTGACGGATGGGAGCTAGGCGACAAAAAGTTTAAGATATTTTCGTCACTACCCCTTGTGTCATAGTGTAGACGGCCTTGGCGGCGAAATAAGGAAGTGAGATGGAATAATATTCATCTCCCTCGCACTTTTTCTTATCTTGCCATGAAAGAAATATTATTTTATTTCAAATGACGCTTTATTTTAATAGACGCTAGTAATTCATTTATTTTTATTTGTTAATCAATAATATACATACATACATATAATCACGCCTCTTTTCCGTAGGGGTAGGCAGAGACCAGTTCTTTCCACTTGCTACGATCCTTACATACTTGTTTTGCTTCGTCCACTTTCATTATTCCCTTCATACATGCTCTACGGTTTAGGGTACTCTTGATCTGGCCTTTAATAGTCGAGGGATACTCATCCCAATTTACCTGTCCGGTAGTCTCCGGTGGTATGGTATACGGGTATGCGACCCCGGCTTCCCTAGCTATTACTGTCCTATCCCGTGCCCTCCTGGACGGTAATATCCTACATTTCCTATTTCCTACCCTAACTTACCTTACTCTTCCTTTTCACACCACCTATCCTTCCCCTTTTCCTATTCTTACCCTCCGCCAATCCAACGTCTGCCGCGCGGATGGATGCATGGCTAGGGGCGAGCCTAGTCGTTAGCGTGCTACACTGCCCTGGGACCGGGCGACCCCAGAATTAGGCTAGCCTTACCCTGGCATGCGGGGCTCTGCTGGGGGGGGACAAAGCTTTCCCTCGCTATTCGTGGGAACGCAATGGATAATCATAAAAAAAATCAATAATATAATACGTTTATAAATAATAATATACTATACAAGGAACTTCGTTCCAACCGAGTGCTCCACGACACTCACGCATTTTTATTTAAATTACCACATGACACTTTATTTGTGCGTCGCTGTCATGACCTGTCTTTTCAGTTTTCCGAGTTCAAAAAAAGTAGGAGGTTCTCAATTCTTTTTTTTATGTGTGTTACCTCAAAACTTTTTTGTAGGTGAACCGATTTTGATCATTCTTTTTTTTATTTGTAGCTGTAGCTGGTGCTTCTCATGTGGTTCCATATAAATTTGATCAAGATTTGGCCAGTAGTTTTTGAGTTATATAATGTGTATTTAATTGACTTCGACTACATTGATGAAGTTGTCATTTTATTTATATTGAAGTCGGTTTAACAATTTTTTTAATTTCACTACTTGTATAAGCTTATTGCATTGCGCATATTATATCTACGAATTCATTGGAAAAACATAATTCTACTTTATTTTTCATGTTTTCTCACTTTACTTCAACAGACGCGTAGTGTTCTCGCCCGAGGTGCCGATCCGGCTGGACTATGTGGGCAAACGCGTGGATCTGTCGGCCGGGCCTGTAGCCGGCCTGCTCATGGGCCTCGGACAACTCAACTGTTCCGAACTCACACTCAAGAGGCTCGACTACAAGTAAGTTTTGTTCCATTTTACCTTTTGTATTGATTTCGATCATTTCGACAACTTTCATAGTGTCGATCAAACTAAACTTAAAAATAATCACCTAAATCATGAATATAATGAGTTCTGCCGATGGCTCTGATAGTATAACAATGCTGCGGACCCTTTGCTGTACATTTTAATGAGGCACCAACATAGAGAAATCTATAAAAATGTTGATTCTCATTTTTTTTTATATGGTATTACTTTGTTATCAACAAAATGTTTCTTCCTTCTAAAAGCAATATTGTTTGCAAGGTTGGGCTTATTGGGCTTAGAAAAACTAGTCCAGTGGGCGTTACACGAATGGCTGTCAGACATCAAGCGACATCAGTTACCCGGATTGCTTAGCGGAATTGGACCCATGCATTCTCTTTTGCAACTAAGTAAGTACATCTTTTAATTTGTATAAATCGATAAAGGTTATTATGACACACGTTTTGTTGCGTTAATTTCAAGTAATTAACTATATATGACTAAAAATGCCTAATTAGGCTTCTCACTATTGCTTTTCATCTACAAAACGTATAATATAATATATGTGCCTATATACCTTACGTGCAAAAATATTGGTCCTTCGAGTCTATACAACAGCTGGCACTGTTGGTGCTATTACAAACTTTAACTTTTTAAATAAATAAAACCTTATAAAAAGGGTTATTATAATATATATGATTACATGGTTGTATAATAATTCTTGGGAATGAGGTGTTCGCTTCCAAGCCGTTTCTTAAATGGTGTAAAATAATTGAATCTATTATATCACGTAGCCCAGAAATCAACGTCAAGCCAAGTCAACGTTAAGTCGTGACAGTTATTAGAAAAATATTTAAAAAAAATTTTGGTCCTCTACTTTTCAAATTATAAGGATTCAAAAACAAATCTCAATAATGACAACCTGTGATGGTTTTTCAAGTCTGTTTCTGTGACTACAAACTACAAATATTAACTTTTCGTCAGTTTTTTTTTTCTGTGATGTAACCATGAATAACCCTTACAGTAAAAATTTAAAGCATTGCTTTAGTTCTCGCAGCAAATCTGTAAGTACAATTAAATAAATAGAAGTGTCTGCTTATTACGTCAAAATAACAGTTTATACAAAATACATGATATGAAAGTATATATAGAACGATGTCTTTTTTTGGTGTTTTAAGATATACCAAAAAAAAGACAATGTTTTAAATTTTTTCTGTTTGTTTGGGCTAATCTCCGAAATGGCTGGATCGATTTAGTAGGAGCTTTCACTGGCAAATACCTGATGTTATGAGGAGTAACTTAGGCTTTTTTTATTTTAGAAAAGAATTAGGGTTTCGCAAAAAAATTAAAACCCACTAAATTCAATCGTAATAAATTTCGCGGGGAACAGCTAGTACGAAATAAAGTTACATACTTATCTGAATGTATTTTGTACTTATCTTATCTTATGTTATGTTAGCCTTAACAAGAGAGCCTTTAACCAAGCCGCCAAGTCCTGCAAAAAGGCATTACGCCAAGCCCGTTTCGACCGCATTAAACACATCGGCACAAAGCTCTTTGTCAAACCATCTGGCAGTAGAGCTTTTTGGTCTCTCGCCAAAGCGGTCGAGACAAACTTCTGACGGTCTACACTGCCTCCGCTGGTAAAACCAGGTGGCTCACTGGCGCATGCACCTAAGGAGACAGCGGACTTATTTGTTTCTCTTTTAGCAACAGCGTAACATCTCAATTACCTCACCGCGGTACCACTATGTCAGAGGTCCGTATCACCATCAAGGAGGTTCTGAAAACCTTGCGAAGTCTAGACGTGAACAAAGCTAGTAAACCTGCTGGTATACCAGCTATAGTTCTAAAGGTCTGTGCACCTGAGTTGTCTCCTGTGCTTGACACGTTTGTTCCGCCTCTCCTTCAGGACTGGAATAGTTCCTAAATATCGGAAGCTGGCCAATGTGCAGCCTGTGCCTAAAAAAGGTAGCCATACCGACCCTGCCAACTATCGGCCAATTTCAATTACCTCCATACTCTGCAAGATTATGGAGCGTATATTGAACGCCCACCTCATGGCATACCTAGAGCAAAATGATCTTCTCAGTGATCGTCAGTACGAGTTTCGCCAAAATTGATCAACTGGAGACCTTCTAACGTATGCTACTCAAATATGGGACGAAGCCATCGAGAACAGTGGTGAAGCACTTGCTGTTTTCGTCGATGTTTCGGCCTTTGATAGGGTTTAGCACGTTAGTCTAATGGGTAAGCTTTCAGCGTACGTCTTATCCCCTGGCCTGATTGTCTGGGTGAAGGATTTTCTGAGTGAACGATCTCTCCGGGTCGTCGTTGATGGCTGCTCATCAGATACTGTGGCGACTAACGCCGGTGTTCCTCATGGGTCCGTTCTCTCCGCAACTCTCTTCGTGCTGCATATAGATGATCTGCTCATTCCCGGTATCTATGAGTATGCAGACGACAGCACAGCTGTGGAGGGATACCAACCAAGCGCCCGAGCCAGTCGGGATCAAATCCATTCAGAAAGAGAGGCTATGGTTGAGCGTGTGAGTCTCACACTACAGGCAGTCTCCGAATGGGGTGATACCAATCTCGTGAGATTTAACGCCTCCAAAACACAAGCGTGTCTTTTTACCGCTAAAAAGAGCCCGCTCACCTTGGCTCCTACTTTCCGGAATGTATCCTTGGAGTACACTGACCGCCTTCGGTTGTTAGAGATTGAATTTTCTCCGAACCTAAGATATGGGCGGTTCATTGAGTCCAGAGCCAAAGCAGCCGCAAGGAAACTTGGTGTCCTTGCAAGGGTGCGGCGGTACTTCACGTCGAAGCAGCTTCTTACCTTATATAAAGCGTAAGTTCGGTCGTGCATGGACTACTGCTGTCACATATGGGTTGGCGCTGCAAAATGCCACCTGGCAGCATTGTACTCAGTGGAGAGACGTGCTAAGAGGCTCATTGATGACCTTGATTTAGTTGAAACCAATCTTGTCAGCCTTGAGCACATGCGCAGAGTAGCCAGTCTCTTAGTATTCTATAGGATGCACTTCGGTGAGTGTGCGCAGGAATTACACGCTTTAATTCCTCCCTCTCCTTTCCACCATCGGATAACCAGACGGTCGGCGGGTCTTCATCCCTTTGTTTCGATATTCCACGCATTATAACCAAACGGTTTGTTTCGTCTTTTGTAATGCGTTCAGCAAAGGAGTGGAATCATTTGCCGGCGTCTTCAATCTTTCCGTTCGAATACAATCTGGGCGTTTTCAAGGCAAGAGTGAATATGCTTTTGTTACGATAAGACAGACAGTGCGATTTACCATCTAAGGTTGTATCACCACATACCACCAGGTGGGACGTTGATACAGTGCGCACATAAACAATGACAGCGTTAGTTTAGAAAATTAGTGTTAGATTGTCGCATTCAACGTTCGCGGTTTACAAAATAATATAAAATTAAAAATTTTGTACAACCGACTTCAATATAAATTATCAAGAATAACTCAAAAAGTATTGGTCAGACCAGTTTTCAAATAAAAAAAGAATCATCGAAATCAGTTCACCCAGAAAAATGTTATGAATGTAATACACATTAAAAAAAACATACAGTCGAATTGAGTTCTTCCTCCTGTTTGAAGTCGGTAGACAAAGTAGTACGAGTATTTTTCGGTCGCTCGTAGTCGACTAAATGAGTTACGGAGAATTGGGCGTAGTTTAGTGCGCAATGTACTAGTACCGTAGTGGCGGTGTGGTGGTGTACTCGTATATATAGAAGTGTGTGTATGTGTGTGTGTGTGTGTGTGTGTGCAGTAACGGGCATCCGCGACCTGGTGTGGCTGCCGGTGGAGCAGTGGCGGCGCGACGGGCGCCTGGTGCACGGGCTGCGGCGCGGCGCCGCCTCTTTCACCGCGCGCACCGCCGTCGCCGCGCTCGACATCACCGCGCGCCTGCTGCACCTCATACAGGTACCTCCTACAGTACACGTGTACGCGCTAGAACCGTGTTACACTTCGTACAAGTCCGTACCGAACCGCGCACATCCGCGCGCCTGCTACACCTTATACGCAGGTACGTTTATTCTATAGAATAAGGGTGACAAACGAGCACACACTCCACTTGTGTGATATATAGACGTTTACATTCATCCTCAATTAAGAATCATAATGCAGATTCGTTGCCACCCTTCAGAACTAAGATAGAATGTCTCTTTTCAAGTAAAAAGGGGTCTTTGGTCACCATACGATATATAGCATTAACGCTTTTTTACGTTGGTATTCTGTGAGAGCATGGTCACCTGATTTTCTGCTCTCTGCAGCACGGCTCTACCACGTTAATAGGTATACGTGCTAGAGCTATGCTGCAGCTATATTATCATTGTAGCACAATGTATTGAACTAGTAGCGTTCACGTAAGAAAAGTTGTAATTGTGTGTGCAGGCGACTGCGGAGACGGCGCTGGACATGGTGAGCCCGGGCGCGGCGCTGGCGCTGCCGGCGGCCAGCGCGCGGCGCGAGCGCCGGCGCCGCCGCGACTCGGCGCGCCCGCACGACCTGCGCGAGGGCGTCGCCAGCGCCTACCACACCGTGCGCGAGGTACCCGCGCCCTTCCCGCGACCTTCCCGCGACCCCGCCTTCCTAAAACATCTAGTCATCACTACACACGTCACGTCATAACTACATTCGCACACACGCACACATGCGCGCGCTAGGGCACGTGCACGTATGCACACACACACACACACACTGTTTCTTTTTTGTTGAATGTATTTAGTTAAGGAAGGGCGAGAACCTTCTACCACAAGTATCTTTATACTGAAAAGAAATCTTCAAACTTGTACTAATTTAAGAATATGTTGAAAACAATAAACTTTCATTTCATAACTATAATTTTAAATTTTCAAAACCCCCCAAATCAAAAAAAGAGCTGATAATCTTCAACGACTGAACAGATTTTCTTGAAACATAACTAAGAACACTTTTAATTTAGACATCTTTGAGACAAAAAATCTGAATCAAAATCGGTTTATCCGTTGTCAGGAGCTATGATGCCACAGACAGATACACACATTCCCCTCTGTTTTCGTCAAGGGTTAGAAAACTTGCCCTATCGAAATCGAGGTCACAACTTTTTGATATGAAATTTTCTTTAGAATCATTGTGATTTGAAATTCGATAAAACTAAAAAGAGACAAACATATACGGCTATAGGATTTAGCCTACGAGAAAATGAGATAGAATACAGTATACAGTGTTTCCTATGAGCAGTAAAGATTATGAACGAAATTTGTTGATTAGAATATATTTAAGTACTTACAATGATGAAATTAAAAACTTGGAGTCTGTATAATATATTTTAAGAAACTATCCCGCTTCTGATGTTAGAAACAGAACACTACTCGATAACAAACCCTGCATGATTCTTCGCATATTTAGCGGCGAGCGATGTTTTCTTCCCCCACCTTGCCCGCAGTGCGCCCGACCGCACTGCGCGCGCCGGGCCGCACAAATTTATATCATCGTAACTTTTAAAATATTTGACCAAAGTATGTAGTTTAAAAGACAAAATTTGTTTACTTTGAATATCAGAAGCGATAAAAGTATTTATTTTAATAAAAATCAATTTCTTATTGCAAAATGTGCGTTGGAAATAAAGTATTAAATTTTATTGTATTTATGGTTCACTATTTGGTAATAATGGCTTATAGATAAAATATAGATACATGCTATCGTGGACTTTTTTGTACAACTATTTAGGAGAAACGATTCCACCATACATTATATTCGTGTAACTCTTACAGTTTTTGCATAGTATGTAAAAATAGCTCGCGAATAGCAGATTTTTTTTCCGTAGCGAAAAGACGTTAACATATATCGTTATATTTTGACCAATTTACACAATATCTTTATTAATTATAGCCAATGTGTTATTCTGATGTATGAGCTATATAATTGTAAAGTTTCATTAAAATCCATTCAGTAGTTTTTACGTAAAAGAGTAACAAACATCCATATATCCTCACAAACTTTCACGTTTATAATATTAGTAGGATTGTAGGATATATTATAGATTAGAAATTATTATATAAAATGTAATAATTTTTAAACTTGACATTCTGCAGCTTAATTTTCTGATGATTTCACTTCTATCACATGTGAATTGCACACGTTTTTTATAGAATAGGTATATACTTCGAGCATACATACATAGAACAAACTTAATTTCACATTCTGAAATCGGGAATTTAATACACCTATACACTATGGTTCAATAAAAGTTTATATATACCAATATAAATCACAAACTCATATTAAACAAGGAAATAAATATATAATTCTGTTGATGCTATTTTGCTGGACAGTTATAAATTATACGTACCTACATTTGATTTATTTATTAACAGGTACATTTGTGGCTGTATAATTCAGTAATAAATGTGCGTGTGTGTAACGTGGCTCAACAGGGCTTCGCGGAGACAGCAGCGTCTATGTCTCTGGCAGCGCGGTCGTCGCGTGTGGGCGTACTGCGGCAGCTGCCCGGTGCGGCCGTCACCCCCCTGGCGCTGGCGGCGGCCGGCGCGGCCGACGTGCTCGGCGGCGTGCGGGCCGCGCTCGCGCCGCACCTGCACCGCGACCACGAGGACAAGTGGCGCCGCCCAGGTAACTAACTGCCGGCGTGCGGGCCGCGCTCGCGCCGCACCTGCACCGCGACCACGAGGACAAGTGGCGCCGCCCAGGTAACTAACTGCCGGCGTGCGGGCCGCGCTCGCGCCGCACCTGCACCGCGACCACGAGGACAAGTGGCGCCGCCCAGGTAACTAACTGCCGGCGTGCGGGCCGCGCTCGCGCCGCACCTGCACCGCGACCACGAGGACAAGTGGCGCCGCCCAGGTAACTAACTGCCGGCGTGCGGGCCGCGCTCGCGCCGCACCTGCACCGCGACCACGAGGACAAGTGGCGCCGCCCAGGTAACTAACTGCCGGCGTGCGGGCCGCGCTCGCGCCGCACCTGCACCGCGACCACGAGGACAAGTGGCGCCGCCCAGGTAACTAACTGCCGGCGTGCGGGCCGCGCTCGCGCCGCACCTGCACCGCGACCACGAGGACAAGTGGCGCCGCCCAGGTAACTAACTGCCGGCGTGCGGGCCGCGCTCGCGCCGCACCTGCACCGCGACCACGAGGACAAGTGGCGCCGCCCAGGTAACTAACTGCCGGCGTGCGGGCCGCGCTCGCGCCGCACCTGCACCGCGACCACGAGGACAAGTGGCGCCGCCCAGGTAACTAACTGCCGGCGTGCGGGCCGCGCTCGCGCCGCACCTGCACCGCGACCACGAGGACAAGTGGCGCCGCCCAGGTAACTAACTGCCGGCGTGCGGGCCGCGCTCGCGCCGCACCTGCACCGCGACCACGAGGACAAGTGGCGCCGCCCAGGTAACTAACTGCCGGCGTGCGGGCCGCGCTCGCGCCGCACCTGCACCGCGACCACGAGGACAAGTGGCGCCGCCCAGGTAACTAACTGCCGGCGTGCGGGCCGCGCTCGCGCCGCACCTGCACCGCGACCACGAGGACAAGTGGCGCCGCCCAGGTAACTAACTGCCGGCGTGCGGGCCGCGCTCGCGCCGCACCTGCACCGCGACCACGAGGACAAGTGGCGCCGCCCAGGTAACTAACTGCCGGCGTGCGGGCCGCGCTCGCGCCGCACCTGCACCGCGACCACGAGGACAAGTGGCGCCGCCCAGGTAACTAACTGCCGGCGTGCGGGCCGCGCTCGCGCCGCACCTGCACCGCGACCACGAGGACAAGTGGCGCCGCCCAGGTAACTAACTGCCGGCGTGCGGGCCGCGCTCGCGCCGCACCTGCACCGCGACCACGAGGACAAGTGGCGCCGCCCAGGTAACTAACTGCCGGCGTGCGGGCCGCGCTCGCGCCGCACCTGCACCGCGACCACGAGGACAAGTGGCGCCGCCCAGGTAACTAACTGCCGGCGTGCGGGCCGCGCTCGCGCCGCACCTGCACCGCGACCACGAGGACAAGTGGCGCCGCCCAGGTAACTAACTGCCGGCGTGCGGGCCGCGCTCGCGCCGCACCTGCACCGCGACCACGAGGACAAGTGGCGCCGCCCAGGTAACTAACTGCCGGCGTGCGGGCCGCGCTCGCGCCGCACCTGCACCGCGACCACGAGGACAAGTGGCGCCGCCCAGGTAACTAACTGCCGGCGTGCGGGCCGCGCTCGCGCCGCACCTGCACCGCGACCACGAGGACAAGTGGCGCCGCCCAGGTAACTAACTGCCGGCGTGCGGGCCGCGCTCGCGCCGCACCTGCACCGCGACCACGAGGACAAGTGGCGCCGCCCAGGTAACTAACTGCCGGCGTGCGGGCCGCGCTCGCGCCGCACCTGCACCGCGACCACGAGGACAAGTGGCGCCGCCCAGGTAACTAACTGCCGGCGTGCGGGCCGCGCTCGCGCCGCACCTGCACCGCGACCACGAGGACAAGTGGCGCCGCCCAGGTAACTAACTGCCGGCGTGCGGGCCGCGCTCGCGCCGCACCTGCACCGCGACCACGAGGACAAGTGGCGCCGCCCAGGTAACTAACTGCCGGCGTGCGGGCCGCGCTCGCGCCGCACCTGCACCGCGACCACGAGGACAAGTGGCGCCGCCCAGGTAACTAACTGCCGGCGTGCGGGCCGCGCTCGCGCCGCACCTGCACCGCGACCACGAGGACGCTTTAGCCAATGCGCCCCTCACTAAAGGTCTCTTTCTATCACTACCGTAAATTACATTATTGCTCGTCAGCGTTTTCGTAAACTAAACATTTACGAAAACGCTGACGAGCGTACGTAGACGAAACGTACCATCTCTGACAGATGTGACTTTTATAAAATATAGCATATAACTGTTGCTTAATTTATTTGTAGACGTCTCTACTTTTTTCCGATCGGAAGAACTCTACGTAGCGCTATCCGAGGAAAATCATGATATTAATTATATTATTTTCAACCCGGAATATAAAACTGAAAACCGTGAGAAGTAGAAGGGGTTCATTTATTATTATTTTAAGCAGTATGTTGAAGTATAATGGCGGCGTAAGATAATCCCTCAACTCATTTCGTCGAATGGGTGTCGTAAGAAGCGACTATAGAAAATGCCAAAAAAATCGTTTGGCTTCAGATAAAAGCCAAGCGTGACGGTTAATCCCCCCACTGCAACTAGAGAGGTTCTATATATATGTTTAAGGAGAGACTTCTATGAGCTGAAGAACTGCTTGTTTATATTTTTAAATTTTATTTTATTTTTCAGACTCCACTGCAGATTAGATGCCAAGTCCGCCTGTTCTTGATCTCGAAGGAAACTATAGGTTAGAGAAGGTTAAGATTTTATGAAGATTTTAAAAAACGCCTATAAGTCAATAAAACAGATTTATGTCACCTACATTCTATTAAAATGATAATATATAGAAGTTTTCAGTGTCTGGGAGTAAGTTTAATTTTGTTTACTCGTTTAAAAAAATCGATCAGAAAACAAGGTGACCATATAGATATAGATAGACCATAGACTTTTTCTTTTAAATAAAGAGTTCGGTATATCCCTTGATATGCCCCTTTCTTCCCTTATGAAAGACATTAATATAAGTATGAATAACAAACAATCAATAGCGATTTGATCTATCGTTAACTTCATATGAATTTTTAGTAGGTAGCTCATAAAAGCTCAGACTGAGAGGTGGTTTTGATAAATTTTTCTTCACATTCATATCAGAAATGTTAAAATACCTTTTAAATAACAATTTCGTATTATAATAAAAATAGAGTACTTAAGAGATATTAGGCTGCGCAAATATTTTGTAATGATAAGCGTGCGATTCTTGCAAATTTTAATAACCTACTTCCAAGTTGACGAAAATAAAAAAGTATTCGTCTCGAATGTACTACATCATTATAATTATGATACTATGTCATTCTCAATGTACTAAGCGTCATGAAAATTAGTGCACTTGAAGACAAACATGAATCATTGACATCTGAAAACTAACGCAGTAAGAAAAACTTATCTTGCAAATTGTATTTGTGTATAAGAAATCTACAATTCTTCTAAGTACTGGCAAAGATATATTTTGATAAAACATTATTGTAAATTGTGCAAGAAAATTTTCTCAATTGTGTACTTTTTGTCTAACTTTTTATCAAAATATTAACTTTTTATTCTGGCAACAATTATACAAAAATATTCTTACTAAATAGCATTATAGCAAATACAGTTTATACTTAAGTGTGTAATTGTTTGCAGACCATATTATCTATTGTTTAGCTTAAAAATGTAGAGTAATTTGTAACCAGAGGCGTAGATACCGTAGGGCTAGGGTGCCCCGGCGGCCCTAAGCTCAAGGGGCTCCTCGTCCTCCATGAACGACGTTCGAAAAATGTATATGGTTTCCTAGCTGAATAAAGAATTTTCTACTTTTTTTGGCCCCTGATCAACAAACCTCAAACGGCTCGAACTGAAATAATAAAAACTTCTCCCATCTACAGAACATACATAAGCATAACATTGTTAAAAATAAAATTGTCAAAGACGTTTTAATGTCTATCTATAATCTGTAATCTACTTCCTCATTGTTTATTTTTACTAGCTGCCGCCCGCGACTTTGTTGGCTTCTTATAGGCCAATATTGAAAATGATCCCACGGGTCCCTTTATTGGGATGAAAGTATCTCATGTCCTACCCAGGTCTAGCTCTGTGTGCAAAATTTCATCCAAATCCATCCAGTAGTTTTTACGTAAAAGCATAATAAACAAACAAACTTTCACATTTATAATATTATTAGGAAGTACAATTAAATATTATCTGCTGTGTTACACGTAATAGTGGTTTTGTTTTATTATGTCCTGCAGTGGGCGATAAAGAGCTGATGATGAAGTATCTTGGTTACATCAGGGGGCATCTTAGTTAGATAACTACGCCACTGTTTGTAACTCGTCTGTAAATATTTTTCAATACCAAGTTATTGCTATATCGTAATTACATGCGATCGCATCACATCGCTACGAAACGTAATTGCAAATTATTACATTTTTACTACCTTAGTTCTTGTATATAGCATGTACCACAAACAGTTAAAGGTTATTACTTAATACATAACGGAATAGTTATTGAATTTATTAATAACGACTGTATTTGTCAAGTTGTCAAAAATTTTAATATGAAATTATATAGCAACCTTTTTCTGATTATATTATAAAAACAAAAAATTAACAGCAAACAGATATTTAACATGCTTAGATTTTATAGCCATGAGTGACTGTCGCTTAAATATCTTTTTCAGTCACAATATGTAAGTTTGAAATCTTTCTGCTCATAGGGCATACTATACTACATATGATGGTGCTTGAATTTATCGGTATAGCATTTAGAGCATTTAATCGCTTCTCATTTTATTATAGATGTAAATATTTTTTTTTAACTAACGTTATTCAGGAATGACTATTGGGTGCCATGACAAGTATGGAAGTTATGCTACAAAAATACTGTGGTATTTAGTTTATCAACTATTTGATTTGATCAATATGTATACATATAGTTTAATTATAGTGTCATAGGGACATATTATTTTTATCACTAGTATCATAAGATAGTAGCAACATTGTGTTTTATAAAAGAGGTCAACAAATTGAATATTAAAATCACAAAAACTTTTTTTCTTGTAAATAAATTTATAATGTGAAATAAATGTTTAACATGGAAACACTTTCTTGTTGTTATTTTACTACATTAAAAAGAATAAATAAAAGACGAATCCTATTTCTAAGTGTGTATTTTAAATCTAATTAAATATCTGGAAAACTAAGTTTATCTAAGCTTCACTTTCCACTTTCTCTTCGGGATATTTGTCATTAAGGAAACTCTTGACTTCGCCATATTCCACTTTAAGGTTTAAGCGGATTTTTTCGTGATTCCTATACCTCTCAAATTTCTTAAGGAAAATATCGTAGTGGGGCATAGTCTCATAGAACCTTGGGAACTTCTTCCTTTTCAAAATGACCTTGTCATTCATAACATATTGAATGAAGTCCAGTGTTTCATCCTTAGGGATTTCTTCTTTGGTCCTGACTACACTTGGACTAGCTACTACAGTAGGATAATATTCATTCTCAGCCTTGTACTCTACAAGATGTAATTTCTTCTCTTCAGCTAGCTGTTGGTGTGTTCTCTGAAATTAAAAAAAAAATATTACTAACAAGCCTCTCATTATGCATCACACCAGTTGGTATCAACATCACATAGCCCTAAAATGATTTGATTTCATACATAACTTGTCAAGAAACAGTTAGACTGGGCAAATATCTACTCTTTCATTTGGAGCAATAATAATACTGATGAATAGTGCTGCTCCAGCTGCACTTTAAAAAACAACTTTTTTTATAACGGTAGAGGTGACAAATGAACACAGTTCATTTGTCAGTTAGTTATCATTCCCCTATTAAGAATCAAGTAAAAACATAAATGTGTTGTTACTCCGATAATCATGCTCTATGTTTTAGTGTGCATATTTTCCACAAGACTTCTTTATTGAAACAGACTAAACCGGTGACTAGCAATCAAAGCATGTACCTGCTGCAAGAGACCTATAAAGAAAGCTTTAACGATGTGCTGCAGATTGTTGGATCCTTCAACTTTGGCTCGGAGGTCTTTAATGCCAATGGCTTGACAGATTTCTTTAATTGCTCGATGACAACATAAGCCATAACCCTCATTCTTTTTCTGAACGAATATCTTTGATTTTCCAAATGCAGTGAAGAAATCATGGAAAACTAAAACAAATAGAGTTTACAATTATTTTCGCTTCTAAGTTTTGATGATGTCAATTCAGCAAACAGAAAGTAGTAAGTCTTCCTAAATCACCAAACTGAAAGTGTTTTTGTTCCACTTCGTTCCATGAGTGTCATAAGAGGTGACTATGTGAAATACAAAAGAAAACTCATGTCTTTCAATACATGGAGATATAACTATCACGCTTTTGCCAGATGTGGAATACCCAAACTGCGACGGAAAGTAACGTCAAAGGTGTGTGACAATCTGGTACCAAGACATCCACCAAACTTTTTTTGTTATTTTTTTTAAATACTAGTAATGCTATTAAACTTTACTAATATTCCCTTTAGCCACTTCTGGTAAGCTTAAAATGCTTGTGTTAGAGGTGATTCACGACAGTCGTCGCATGGCGGATTTAAACCCACAACGTTTCGAATTTGCGGTCCACGTCCTGCCATTAGGGTACTGATGCTTTAACTGCAATATTGGGATTGTACTGTGATTGTTCATACATCACGCCAACAAATGTTCTGCAAATTTTATATTACGAGTTATGCATTGTGCCCTTGTGCTATATACCCTGTTATGTTTCTCTTACAGTTAGAACATCATCATAATCAACATAATGATCCTACTGCAATTTTTGGGTTATTAACATATATTAATATATACCAATAGAATGCACTTTTTCCATGGGTAAAACTCTAGTGACATAGTAGAAGTTTTTTTTTTCTAATGATACACATCCTGAATTCTAACATGCATTCAATAACAATCAGACAATTCTTTTTTTTTTTTCACTAAAACTAAACTACTCTTACTTGTATGTCCATTATAAATATCAAAATGCATTAATTTCTTTCCAGCCCTATTTTTGGCCTTCCTCAGCGCAGCTGTGGCCTCTTTGGCTTTTCCAAAACCAAAACCTGCAAGGCCTTGTCCATTTCCAGTTACAACCTATAATCAAATTACAAAATACATTTATACATCACACAATGTTCTACTTTATAATAATTTTTTTGGTACTAAAGATATTATGAAGAATACCTCAAGAAACAATGAAGTCATTATTATAAAAAAATAAACAAGAAAACGTACCATTGCTTGGTAATTCCTAGTTCGGCCCAATGTGCCTTTCATTATGAGCAATGATCGTAGTTGAAGCACTTTAGTGTCAAACCCAGTAAATTCATCTATAAAATAGTAATAATTTTTACACAACAGTATTTCAAAGGAATATAGTAGATAAAATTATGTATGAAAGAACAACTAGAAAATAAATATATCTGATAAATAAATATATTATGTATATTATAATATATACTTGAGGTTTTAAAGATAAATATGAAAACCAAACCATCATCAAACCAAACATCGTCAAAAGGAAACATTGTCAAACCATCATTAAAAATTGTGGACAACATCCAAAATTTCTGATGGGTTACTTAATGCTATATATCTACAACCCATTCACTGCCACAGGTTCTTATGTCCTTTTCTTTGAATT